GGGCCTTCTCTGTGGGGGCTCCCACCCTCTGGAATCAGTTGCCCCCGGAGATAAGAAGAATCCAGGACCTCAATGCCTTCCGTCGTTCCCTGAAAACCTATCTTTTTCAACAAGCCGGGTTGGCTTAACACTTTTAAATGTTTTTAATTGGTTTGTCATTGTTTTTTAATTACGGGGCCAAATTTATATCTTTTTAATAGTATTTTAATGTTTGTAATTTATGTTTTTATTTGGCTGTACACCGCCCTGAGTCCTCAGGGAGAAGGGCGGTATATAAATTTGATATAAAATAAAAAATAAATAAAATGTGCATTAGAGGTAGTCCTCGCTTTAAAACCACTCCTTTAGTGACTGTTCGAAGTGGCAACACCACCGAAGAATAAAATAGCAGAGTTGGAAGGGACTTTATAGGTCCTATAGCACGCGTGCTGGAAGTGGCACGCAAAAAGCCATCTCTCTGGGCATGCCAGCCGTCGCCTGTTACTGTTCTGTGTTCCGCCAGTCATCTGTTTTTCCAATTTCTGGCGCACACGTGTGTGCCAGCCAACTGGTCTTTGCGCACGCATGCGTGCCAGAAACCAAAAGATCAGGTGACCACCGCGCATGCCAGAAATCAGAAGACCAGCTTCCCCCGGTGCATGTATGCGCTCCGGAAAACTGCTCTTCCGGTTTCTGGTGCTCCCCCACGAGTGTGTGCACACTCCCGTTTTGGCACTCGGTGCCGAAAAGGTTCACGAAGGTCATCTAGTCCAACCCCTCGCCCAAGCAGAAGACCCTACACCATTTTTGACAGATGGCAGTCCAGTCTCTTCTTGAAGGCCTCCAATGATGAAGCTCCCACAACTTCCAAAGGCAACTTCTGTTCCATCGGTTGATTGCTCCCACTGTCAGAAAATTTGTCCTTATTTCTAGGTTGAATCTCCCCTTGATCAGTTTCCATCTATTATTCTTTGTCTGGCCTTCAGGTGCCTTGGAAAATAGCTTGGCCCCCTTCCTCCTCTCTCTGGCAGCCCCTCAGATATCGGAAGATGCTCTCCTGTCTCCCCTGGTCCTTCTCTTCACTAGACTAGCCAGGTCCAGTTCCTGCAATTGTTCATCGTATGTTTTAGCCTCCAGTCCCCTCATCATCCTGGTTGCTCTTCTCTGCATTCTTTCTAGAGTCTCAGCATCTTTTTTATAGTGTGGTGACCAAAACTGGATGCAGGGCTCTAGGTGTGGTCTTACTAAGGCTTTATAGAGTGGTGTTAGTACCTCCCTTAATCTTGATTGTATCCCTCTGTTGGCTTTTTTTGGCTGCCGCTGCACATTGCTGGCTCCTATTTAACTGGTGGTCCATTAAGACTCCAAGATCCCTGTCAGGTTTCGATGTCATCTCAAATAAAATAAATTGCATTTCCAAACAGATAGTCTTTGAAGAAATCTTTCATTTTATTGAGCACGACAATCTGGCCCCAATTGTGGCGTAGCCAACTCTGACTTCCTGACCCCAAACCTTCCCTTTCCGTTCCCCAATTCTCTGCGTCTCATTGGCCTTCCAAATCACTCTCCCCATATCTACTACTTAAGCTCCCAGGAATGTCCCCCCTCCCATCTCATCTCCTAGGGGATATTATCTTCAAGGAAAATAAGTAGGTGAAATGTCAAGCGTCCTCTTGCCAGCTGCCCCCTCTTCTCCTTATGTCAGCACTAGAGTAAATGCAGGTTGAAGTGCTGACAATCCCTCTCCCAGTTACTGCTATTAAGCCTGGTTTCACCCAGTCTATATGTGTACTTTTGGTTTTCCTTATCTAAGTGTAAGACTTTACTTTTCTCTACATTGAATTTCATTTTGTTAGATAGGGTCCAGGGTTCAAGTGTGTCAAGATCCTTCTAGGGTGTTGGCTATTCCTTCCAGTTTAGTATCATCTGCAAAGAAAGTGACTTAGAGCTGGCACTCACAACTGGTATTCACACAACGATTGTAGTATCTCCATGTTCAGAATTCGGGCATTTGGCAACTAGTTCACACTTACAATGGTTGCAGTGTCCCGGAGTCACATGATCTCCATTTGTGACCTTCCCTGCCAGTTTCCGACAAACTCAATGGATTCATTTAATAGCCATACGATTCACTTAACGGCAATGATTTGCTTGGCCATGGGTAAAAAGGCCATGAAATACAATGTAGAGAAAATAAAGTTACTTAGGCAAGAAAAAAAAGTACGCATATAGACTGGGTGAAACCAGGCTTAATAGCAGTGACTGGGAGAGGGATCTTGGAGTCTTAGTGGACAATCAATTAAATATGAGACAGCAGTGTGTGATGGCAGCCAAAAAAGCCAACGCAATCTTAAATTGCATTAACAGAGGGATACAATCAAGATCAAGGGAGGTACTAATACCACTCTATAAAGCCTTAGTAAGACCACACCTAGAGCCCTGCATCCAGTTTTGGTTACCACACACACACAAAAAATGTTGAGACTCTAGAAAGAGTGCAGAGAAGAGCAACCAGGATGATTAGAGGACTGGAGGCTAAAACATACGATGAACAGTTGCAGGAACCGGGCATGGCTGGTCTAGTGAAGAGAAGGACCAGGGGAGACAGGATAGCAGTCTTCCAATATTTGAGGGGCTGCCACAGAGAGGAGGAAGGGGGTCAAGCTATTCTCCAAAGCACCCGAAGGCCAGACAAGGAATAATGGATGGAAACTGACCAAGGAGAGATTCCACCTGGAAATAAGGAGGAATTTTCAGACAGTGAGAACAATCAACCGACGGAACAGAAGTTGCCTTCGGAAGTTGTGAGAGCTTCATCCCTGGAGGCTTTTAAGAAGAGACTGGACTGCCATTTGTCAGAAAGGGTGTACAGTCTCCTGCTTGGGTGGGGGGTTGGACTAGATGACCTACAGGGTCCCTTCCAACTCTGTTCATCTATTCTAACCAAAATCAGATATGACTCACTTAACATTTTGCTTAGCAATGGAACTGCTGCTCCTGTTTTGGTTGTAAGTAGAGGATTAACTCTACTAACCATAGTATGATTTTTCTGGTCTTGGTTGAGCAAGATTGTCAAGCTTACTCGTTGTGACTTACGCAACTGAGCTTTGTGGCTCGAACCAGCCAGGCTTGATCTGAGGACTATCCCTTGGCCTAGTAAGGAGATGAAGTTCAGGTTTCCCGTCGGGTTTCAAAATGTGCCACCGAGCCCGATGGACCAGTTTGGGGGCTGGGTGCCTGCAACCATTCCTGGTTCCCCCTTGAGGGATCCCAACCTGCTCCAAACCTAACAATTTCCCAGGATCTCGAGGACCGCCTGGGTACAGCTTCTTCTTCCTGGTTAGCCGGATGAGTTGGTGGTCTTCTTTAAAGAGAAAGTGAAGATGTGGGGCTTCCCCTTCCTCTTCCCTGCCTCGGTTTGGGGTTGTGCAAACTTCTTGCCTTTTGTGCAACTCACCTGGGTTGCGTTACCTGTCGGGGGAGTCGGCAGGAAGAAACGATGATGCAATATATACATCTAAGAGACATCACGGATGGTTTGGGGGCCTTTGGACCAGTGGTGAGTTGCTCCTGGTTCGCGCGAACCAGTAGTGGCAGCGGTAAAAGGTTCCGCCCACCTACCCAGACGTCATCAAAAAAGCTCTGTGCATGCACAGAAGTGCCAGATGCTTGCTTTGCGAGCGCGCACAACCGATAGAGAACCGGTAGTGCCGGAATTTGAAACCCATTACTGCTTTGGATCCAGAGCAGGGGTGAAATGCTCCCGGTTCGGACCGGATCGCCCGATCTGGTAGCGATGGAAGTGGGTGGTTCGGAGAACTGGTAGTAAAAATCCCTGCCCCCCCCCAATTGCCCAGCTGAGCCGCACAATCATCAGAGGCTTTTTTTTTAATTTTTAAAAGCATTTTTTCCTACAACCTCTTTGGCCGAAAAAAATGCTTTTAAAAGTTAAATTAAAAAAAGCCTCTGATGATCGCGCGGCTCAGCTGGGATCATCAGAGGCTTTTAAAAGCATTTTTTTCTACAACCTCTTCAGCCGAAAAAAATGCTTTTAAAAGTAAAAAAAAAAAAAGCCTCTGATGATCACGCGGCTCAGCTGGGATCATCAGAGGCTTTTAAAAGCATTTTCTTCTACAACCTCTTCAGCCGAAAAAAATGCTTTTAAAAGTAAAAAAAAAAAAGCCTCTGATGATCGCGTGGCTCAGCTGGGATCATCAGAGGCTTTTAAAAGCATTTTTTCTACAATCTCTTCGGCTGAAGAGGTTATAGAAAATTTTTTTAAAAAAGGAAAGAAAGCCTCTGCCGATCAGGCAAGTCAGCTGGGATCGTCAGAGGCTTTTAAAAGCATTTTTTCCTGCAACCTCTTAAGGTTGTAGAAAAAATGCTTTTAAAAGTAAAAAAAAAAAAGTTGGCCACGCCCACTCAGTCATATTAACCCCCCCAAGCCACGCCCACAGAACCGGTAGTAACAAATTTTACATTTCATCACTGATCCAGAGGTTTCAAACTGGATTTCTTCGTGGGCCAGATCAGCATTGTAGTTCTCTGCGCGTTTTCTGCCAGCTATACGGCCTCCTGAAGCACTTTGCCGGCCAAAGCAGGCCGTGCTGGGGCCGCATGTGCCCCCCCCTTTGCCCCGTTTTGGCTGGCAAATGCTTCAGGAGGCCGTCCAGGCTGAAAATGAGCCTTGGTAGTACAGGGGTTTAAGGCACCCTGTTATTAAGCTGGTTATTAAGACCAGCTGCCTGCAATTACTGCAGAGTTCGAATCTCGCCAAGGCTCAAGGTTGACTCAGCCTTCCATCCTTTCTAAGGTAGGTAAATTGAGGACCCAGTTTGTGGGGGCAATAAGCTGACTTTGTATAAAATATATACAAAAGGATGAAGGCTATTGCTGAGCACATTGTAAGCTGCCCTGAGTCTCCGGAGAAGGGCGGCATATAAATCAAAATTAAAAAAAAAAAAAAAGTCTTTAACTCCTTATTACTCAAAAAACTATAAACATGAACTACTTAAAAATATTTTTACTTTCTTGATCCCTTGGTGTCTGAAGCTAAGATCCATCCTCCTTCTTCCGTTTTTGCAACCGTTTCAGGTTACCTGCCCAACGGGATCCACGCCGTGGAGGCCATGCTGGCTGCTGCCAGCATCGGGGGCATCTGGAGTGCCACGTCGCCGGATTTTGGCATCAACGTGAGTGACCCTCACTTAAGCACCTTGTTCCTAGATCCCCGTTCTACATTTGCACCCTCTTAAAGAAGGGCGAATTCCTTTTGGGCAAAAGCAATAGCCGACAGTCCTCGACTTAACAACCGTTTGTTTTAACGACCGAAGTTTACAGTGAGACTGAAAAAAAGGATCTTGCCACCTCAATAACGCGTGATCAAAATTTGGACACTTGGCAACAGGCAGGTATTTTATAATAGTTGCAGGGTCAGGTGATGGTTATGGTAGCAGTGGTGGCGCAGTGGTTAGAAAGCAGTATTGCAGGCTAATTTAGCCGATTGCCAGCAGTTCGACCCTCACCGGCTCAAGATTGACTCAGCCTTCCATCGTTCTGAGGTGGGTAAAATGAGAACCCAAATTGTTGGGGGCAAGACGCTGACTCTGTAAACTGCTTAGAGAGGGATGGAAACCACTGTGAAGCGGTATATAAGTCTATAGCGCTATTGCTATTCTTTCTTTTCCCTGTCCCTCCCTCCCTCCCTCCCTCCCTCCCTCCCTCCCTTCCTTCCTTCCTTCCTCTGCCCGCGGCCAGCAGTTCAAATCTCACCAGGCTCAAGGTTGACTCAGCCTTCCTTCCTTCCGAGGTGGGTAAAACGAGGACCCAGATTGTTGGGGGCAAGAGGCTGACTCTGTAAACCGCTTAGAGAGGGATGGAAAGCACTGTGAAGCAGTATATAAGTCTATAGCGCTATTACTATTCTTTTCCCTGTCCCTCCCTCCCTCCCTCCTTCCCTTCCTTCCTTCCTTCCTTCCTTCCTTCCTTCCTTCCTTCTTTCCTTCCTCTGCCCACTGCCAGCAGTTCAAATCTCACCAGGCTCAAGGTTGACTCAGCCTTTCCATCCTTCCGAGGTGGGTAAAACGAGGACCCAGATTGTTGGGGGCAATAGGCTGACTCTGTAAATCGCTTAGAGTGGGCTGGAAAGCACTGTAAAGCGATATATAAATCTAAGGGCTATTCCTGCCTGCCTGCCTGCCTGCCTTCTTTCTTCCTTCAACGCTGCGCAGTGGTTACAATGCAACATTGCAGGCTAACTCTGCCAACTGCCAGCAGTTCGAATCTCACCAGGCTCAAGGTTGACTTAGCCTCCCCTCCTATATAAGCATATAAGTCTAAGGGCTATTGATATTTGTGACCTTCCCTGGTTTCCGACAGGCAAAATCAATGGTAGAAACCAGTGGTGAAATGTAAAATTTGTTACTACCTGTTCTGTGGGTGTGGCTTGGTGTGTGTGGGGGGTTAATGTGACTGGGTGGGCATGGACAACTTTTTTTTTTTTCTTTTAAAAGCATTTTTTCTACAATCTTAGGAGGTTGCAGAAAAAAATGCTTTTAAAAGCCTCTGACGATCAGGCAACTCAGCTGGGATCGCCAGAGGCTTTTAAAGGCATTTTTTTTTCCTACAACCACTTCGGCTGAAGAGGCTGTAGAAAAAATGCTTTTAAAAGCCTCTGACGATCCCAGCTGAGTTGCGCGATCATCAGAGCCTTTCTTTTTTTTTACTTTTAAAAGCATTTTTTCGGCCGAAGAGGTTGTAGAAAAAATGCTTTTAAAAGTAAAAAAAAAAGCCTCTGATGATCGTGCGGCTCAGCTGGGCATGGGGGGGTGGCAGGGATTTTTGCTACCGGTTCTCCGAACTACCCGCCACCATCACTACCAGATCGGATGATCCGGTCCGAACTGGGAGCATTTCACCCCTGGTAGAAACTAGATTCGCATAAGAACTGTGAGATTTGCTTAAAGGCCATGGCAAAAGCTGCAAAATCAGTTGTGACTCGCTTAACGACCGCATTGCTTAGCTGTAGAAATTCATAAGTCAAAGACGATCTGTAGACTTCAGAGTTGACTTTTATGGGATCACCAGAAGAGGGGAGTCATGCGCCACTGTTTTTAGCCAAAGACTGAGTATTTAGGGGAAAAAAGATTGATCTAATGCTTTTAGTCACAGTTCATATAAATGTATGTTTGTGTGTGTAATTTAGGGCATTGGTCCTGCAATTAAGATCTCAGCTGAATTTAATTTTAAAAGTCCTCCATGTCCTGAACTGGAAGCCAACTTGCAACATACGAATCAGTGGTTCTAACATGGCTTGTCTTCTGCTTCGCTGGAGATGTCTGGAGGATGGACATCTAGTTCCATGAATGGTGGAACAAGGCTGAAGAAAAGACCCGTTCTGGATGCTGACACACACCCTGGGATGTGTATGAATAACAGAGTTGGAAGGGATCTTGAAGGTCTTCTAGTCCAACCCCCTGCTCAAGCAGGACACCCTATACCCGTGATGACGAATCTATGGCACGCGTGGCACACGGAGCCATGTCGGTGGGCACGTGAGCGTTGCCCTAGCTTAGCTCCAGCACACATGCGCACGCCGGCCAACTGATTTTTGAGCCTTCAGGGCCCACCGGAAGTCGGGAAACGGACCACTTCCTGCGGGGGGGGGGGGGCCAGGGGGAGGCTGTTTTTGCCCTCCCCAGGCTCCAAGAAAGCTTCTGGAGCCTGAGGAGGGCGAAAAATGGGTCTACTGGGTCCACCTTGCCATCACGTGCCAAAAGCGGTGGGAGCATGGTGGGGTTGCATGTGCGGGGAGCAGGGTGCATTGAATTACGGGTATGGGCACGCGCGTGTGTGACCCTCCCGTGTCGCCCCCCTTTTGGCACGTGACAGCAAAAAGGTTAGCCATCGCTGCCCTATACCATTTTCAACAAATGGTTGTCCAGTCTCTTCTTAAAAACCTCCAGTGATGCTAATATGCTATTTAGTATACTGTCTTTGGTGTAAGCTGCCCAGAGTCCTCGGAGAGTGGGCGGCATAGAAATATGACTAATAAAATAAATAAAATAAACCCGGGTTGTGAAGTCAAGATGGCTTCCCCGTTGATTTGTTGCTTGTCAAAAGGGAAATCATGTGACCTTGGGACTAGTGGTGGGTTGCTACTGGTTCTACCTGGATTGGTGAACCTGTGGCAGTGGCGGGAGGCTCCGCCCACCCATACTGGACGCTTATGCGCAGAAGCAGAGCGAATGAGTAAACCGGTAGTGACGAGTTTTGCAATCCAAAACTGCTTGGGACACAGTAACGGTCATAAGTATGAACCAGTTGCCAAGCGTCTGAATTTTGATCACCGAGATGCTACGAAGGTCGTAAGTGTGGAAAAAAACCGGACGTAAGTCACTTTTTTTGGTGCCGTCGTAACTTTGAAACGGTCACTAAACAAACGGTTGTAAGTCGAGGACTGCCTCTAAAGAAAAGGTGGCCCTTTCGCCCAGGTTTGTTGAATTCTCTGCTAATGCCTGGTTCCCTCCCACCGTCGCCCCCCCTCCCGCAGGGCGTTCTGGATCGGTTCTCCCAAATTCAACCCAAGCTAATCTTCTCCGTCGAAGCTGTCATCTACAACGGGAAACGCCACAATCACCTGGAAAAGCTGCAGAGTGTCGTCAAAGGTAAATCAGCTGCGGTTCCCCCCCCCCCCAAGGCTTGGAAAGGATGCCGCTCCTTTCTGTGCCTGAATGCAATATAAAAAAATGCAACATATTGAATGCAACATGAAGAAGCCCTGGTTGGCGCAGGAGTTAGAATGCAGGACTGCAGCTAATTCTGCTGAGCCAGATTGTTGGGGGCAATGTGTCGACACTGGAAACCACTTAGAGGGGGCAGTAAAGCTCTATAAGCGGTATATAAGTCTAAGGGCTATTGCTAGTGTTATCTTCCTTCCTTCCTTCCTTCCTTCCTTCCTTCCTTCCTTCCTTCCTTCCTTCCTTCCTTCCTTCCTTCCCATAGTGTGCTGTGGTTAGAATATGCAGTCTTGCAGGCTAACTCTGCCCACTGTCAGCAGTTCGATCCTGACTGGCTCAAGGGTGACTCACCTTCCATGCTAAGGAAGGTTGGTCACTAAAATGAGGACCCAGATTGTTGGGGACAATAGGCTGACTCTGTAAACCGCTTAGAGAGACCTGTAAAAGAACCGTGAAGCGGTATATAAATCTTAAGTGCTTTTTCTTATTTGATCATCTTTGCGTTCCTGATCCTTTTTTTTCCTTTTAGGACTTCCGGATCTGAAAAAAGTTGTTGTCATCCCCTATGTATCTTCAAGAGAATCCATAGATATTTCCAGAATCCCAAACAGGTATAAAGCTTTAAGGATATTATGGGAATTGGCTGAGAGCGACTCACTTAACAACCACCTTACTCACCAATGGAGATGTGATCATAAGTCAAGATATAACCTTATCATAAAAGTACAGATTGTTCTTGATTTACGACCACACCTCCATTGGTAAGTGAGGTGGTTGTTAAGTGAGTCGTGCCCAATTTTTTTGCCGTTGTTGTTGAGTGAATCATAGGTTGTTAAGTGAATATGACCTTGCGTGTCGGAAGCTGGCTGGGAAGGTCACAAATGGAGATCATGGGGATACTGGGGATACTGCAAAATGTACTGGTTGCCAAGCACCCAAATTTTGACCCGATGGCCACAGAGATGCGACGGTCGTAAGTATGAGGACCGGTCTGAAAGTCACTTTTTTTTCAGTGGCGTCGTAACTTTGAACGGTCACTAAATGCAGGGTTGTAAGTGGAGGAATAAATACCTGTACAGGTAGCCCTCAACATGCAACAGTTTTGTTTAGTGACCTTTCGACGTTACAACGGTGCTGGAAAAAAGTGACTTATGACCGTTTCTCACACTTACGACCTTCGCAGCATCCCCATGATCACGTGGTCAAAACGCCCGGTAAATGACTCATATTTATGACCGCGGCTGGGTCCCAAGGTCACGTGATCCCCTTTTGCGACCGTGCGATGTGCAAAGTCCATGGGGAACCCAGATTCACTTAACAACGGTGCGACTAAATTAACAACCGCAGGGATTCACTTAACAGCAGTGGCAAGAAAGGTCGTAAAATGGGGCAAAACTCACTTAACAAAACTCACTTAGCGACATAAATTTGGAGCTCCATTGTGGTTGTAAGTCGAGGACTTCCTGCATTAACTTGGGGGCCTTTTGAGTTCCCAAGGTTGACCCTGCTTTGGCGTGCTGATGGTTGCATAGAAAAATCTTAGCATAATATAATTTTATCATATTTTATCTAAATCTTAAATTATTGTGTTTTATTCCAATTTAATTTTAGACTATTTTATTCCAATTTCTTTTTTTTCTTTTTTTTTGAGTTTTAAAAAGTTTTATTACATATAAGAAATTCCATTTCTAAATAAATAGTGTGTTGTCTGTGTACAAATAATTTTGAGGGATAATAATCATATTTACAATAATATTCATCACGTTGGTACTGATCTCATAATAATCGTAGTACTTGCTTATCCATTTTAATAAACTTTCCTTATAAAATTAGTCCTTCCCTTATATGTCCCTATTTCTAACTTCTGTTTTTATTGGCTAGCTAGCCATTGATAAAACGAGTCCCATGTTAAAAAGTATTCCGTTTCTTCCCTTTCCTTAATTTTAAGCGTTAACCTATCCATTTCATTTTAAATTGTATTTTATCCAATTCCATTTTAAATTGCTTTTGTCAATTTTTTAGTAAATGATGTGTTTCTGGAACTCTGCACTTCAATATGGCCCAAGGGCAGGATTCTACTTAACTTTTACTACTGGTTTGCATCGTGCCCGTGCACACTCTTCTGCACATGCGCAGAAGCTTCTGATGATGTCCGGGTCAGTGGGCGGAGCCTCCCACCGGTTTTACTACCGGTTCTTGCGAACCGGTCTGAACTGGGGGCAACCCACCACTGCCCAAGGGCTAATCAATAAAATGAATGGGTTATAGAAAAATCTTAGTAATATGCAGGGGTGAAATCCAGCAGGTTCTGACAGGTTCTGGAGAACCGGTAGCGGAAATTTTGAGCAGTTCGGAGAACCGGCAAATTCCACGTTTGGCTGGCCCCAGAGTGGGGTAGGAATGGTGATTTTGCAATATCCTTCTCCCAGGAGTGGGGAGGGAATGGAGATTTTGCAGTATCCTTTCCCCTGCCACACCCACCAAGCCACGCCCACCAAGCCACTCCACGCCCACCAAGCCACGCCCACAGAACCCATAGTAATAGAATTTGGATTTGACCACTGGTAATATGGAATTGTGATTTTCACCCTTTTCTTCCCTTTTTCCACTCAGCGTGTTTTTAGAAGATTTCCTTGGAACGGGCAAGGGAGACCAGGCGCCCCAGCTGGAGTTCGAGCAGCTCCCTTTCAGCCACCCACTTTTTATCATGTACTCTTCGGGCACGACGGGCGCCCCGAAATGCATGGTGCACTCTGCAGGGGTGAGTGTCCCTTGTTTATTTATTTCGCGTATGGCATGGAACGCACGGATATTTGGAGTGGCACGGTGGCCTAGAGGTGGAGGTCTCGCCTCACAATCGGGAAGCTGTGAGTTCGATCCTAGGCTGAGGCAGATATTTCTCTCTCTGGGCACCGATGAGGGTATATCTGCTGAACAAAACTCCGCATTGGCGATAGGAAGGGCATCCGGCCATTCAAACACTCTGCTAACTCCATTCAGCTGCCAAGACTCCACCCCGCAAGGGATTATGTGGTCGTTAAATGAAGATTATGATGATGATGATGATGGAATGCACGGATATTAGGAGTATGGGAGAAATACATGTCACATATGACAGAGAGGAGTGGTCATTTTTGTAAGATTTAAGAAATTCAAATAATTGTTTATCACGTTGCAAATTATATTTTAAAAGATGTTAGTTAGGGAAATTTAATTTAATTTAATTAATTAAATTTATATGCTGCCCCTCTCCGAAGACTCAAATGGTGAGTTCTAATCCTGCCTTAGGAATGGAAGCCAACTGGGGGACTTTGGGCCAATCATCAGGAGAGGGTGAGTTCTAGCGCCACCTTAGGCATGTAGTAAAGCCAGTTGGGTGGCTTTGGGCCAAATACCAGGAGACGGTGAGTTCTAGTTCCGCCTTAGCAACAAAAGCCAGTTGGGTGGCTTTGGGCCAATCACCAGGAGATAGTAAATTCTAGTCCTGCCTAAGCCATGAAAGCCAGTTGGGTGGCTTTGGGCCAATCGCCAAGAGACAGTGAGTTCTAGTTCTGCCTTAGCAACGAAAGTCAATTGGGTGACTTGGGGCCAATCACCAGGAGAGGGTGAATTCTAGTGCCACCTTAGGCATGTAAGCCTCGGTGGTGCAGCGGACTAAAGTGCTGTTAACTGCCAGCTGCCTGCAATTAGTGCAAGTTCGAATCTCACCAGGCTCAAGGTTGACTCAGTCTTCCATCCTTTCGAGGTAGGTAAATTGAGGACCCGGATTGTGGGGGCAATAAGCCAACTTTGTATAGAATAACACTGCTTGGGGGGGCGGGGCGAAAGCCCTAATAAGCAGGTATATACAAAAAAGTATGCAGGCTATTGCTATAATGCATTGTAAGCTGCCCTGAGTCTACGGAGAAGGGCGGCATATAATTGGACTAATAAATAAATAAATAAATAATAAAGCAGCTGGGTGACTTTGGGCCAATCACCAGGTGACAGGAAATTCTAGTCTTCCCTCAGCCATGAAAGTCAGCTGGGTGGCTTTGGGCCAATCACCAGGAGACAGTGAGTTCTAGTTCCACCTTAGCAACGAAAGCTATCTGGCCAGAGGGATGGATTTTGTGGGGAAAATAGGAGGAGGCAGTTAAAATATGGGATGTATTCGCTGCCTTGAGTTATTTCTAAAAATAACGAAGGGGGGTGGATACAAATAAATAAAAGAAGTGGTTTGCCCTTGATTGCAACCTGAAATGGATCCATTGGATTTCTCTACCCACATCTGTATGTGATCCATTTTGTGTGGCCATTGCAGGATTTGATCCCGTGTACCTCGGCTGGACTGTGAACTTGCAGTAATTGCAGGCAGCTGGTGTTACTTAATAGTGCTTTAGTCTGCTGCACCACCAAGGCTCATTATACATCATATTGGGTGTGCAAATGGTTACTTATTTGAGTGCTTGGTTCAAAAGTTTTGCTAATTAAAATGTAAAAGAGACTAAATATTCATTTTAGCTTTCTAATGCAATTGAAGCTCTTTTCCTTTCTTATTTCTTTTTTTTTCTTTTTATTTTATTTGTCCCTGCAGGGAACTTTGATTCAGCACCTGAAAGAACATATCCTTCATGGGAACATGAGCAGTAATGACGTCATCATATACTACACCACGGCAAGTGACTTTTTCTTTAATTAATGGAGAATATTTGTAGCTCAGGGTTGACATGAGGGGTCCTTGGTGTTCTCTGAGCTTCCTTGTTTTCTTGGAGACATTTCATGACCCAGCTAGGTAACATGATCAGTGCTGGAAGGGATGGGTTTTGTTGAGAGGAGGAGGAGGAGAAGGACTATGGGGTCCTTGGTGCTCTCTGAGCTTGGTGGTTTTCTTGCAGACGTTTCATAAGGGGGTTTGTGGAGTAACAGAGAAGAAGGACTATAAAGTCCATGATGCTCCCTGAGATTGGTTGTTTTCTTGTAGACGTTTCATTAGCCAACTACGTAACATCATCAGTGCTAGAAGGGAAAGGGGTTTGTGTAACGGCGGAGGAGGTGAAGAGGAGAAGGAAGACCATAGGATCCTTGGTGCTCCCTGAGCTTGCTTGTTTTCCTGCAAACGTTTCATGACCCAACTAGGTAACATCATCAGTGCTGGAAGGGATGGGTTTTGTTGAGAGGAGGAGGAGGAGAAGGACTATGGGGTCCTTGGTGCTCTCTGAGCTTGGTGGTTTTCTTGCAGACGTTTCATAAGGGGGTTTGTGGAGTGACGGAGAAGAAGGGACTATAAGGTCCATGGTGCTCCCTGAGCTTGCCTGTTTTCTTGCAGGCATTTCATGACCCAACTAGGTAACATTATCAGTGCTAGTAAGGGGTGCTGATTGCTGTCAGTTTATATTCTGGTGGCTTGCCTCCATTAGTGTTGGTGGGGATGATCTTAGAGATTCTTTGGTTGGGCTGTTTGCTGTCGTCTTCTTGATTGGGGTATTGTTTACTTGATTGTTGGTCTGAAGTTAATCTCTGCTGACCTGGATACTGAGGTTTTTTTTTGTTCTCTTCTTCGGCTGGTGGATTGTTTCTTTTGCATCCTCTATAGATGTTGTTACGTTGACATTTTCTTTCCATAAAAACAAATATTAAATTGTGGAGAGTAGATAGAATAAATCTGAAAAGAAACTGAAAGAAAGTATCTACGATTAGAATACAGGAGTTGCTCAGATACTAAAGGAGGAGAATATTTCCCAGCAAAGAAGTTAGAAAAGAGAGAGGAGGAGAGGGTAGGAAGAGGAGAGGGAGGGAGAGGAATGGAAGAAAGGAGAGGAGGAAGGGAAGGGGACAGGAGTAGGAGTGAAGGTGAGAAGGGGGAAAAGAAGAGAGAAGTGGGGGAAAGGAAAAGGAAGTAGGATGAAGTAGGAGAGGAGGAAGGAGAAAGTAGGAGAGAAGAGGAGGGAGGGAAGGGAAAGAAAGGAGGAGAAGAAGAAGGTTTGTTGTGGAATGAGGGAAGAAAGAGAAGAAGAGCAACTCCGAATGTAATTAAAATGTCTTATTTTAATGCTTTCTTTAAGGGAAACATGTATATGTAGGATTTATTATGTATAAGAAAATGTACATTTTCTATTATGGGGGGAGGGGGAAAGGGTGGGGGGGAGAAAATTGTTTGTATTTCTTATAAAACTTTTCAATAAAAAAAAAAAAATGGGGCATCCTTTGGAGACTCCTGCACGCGCTGCCTGCGCACTTCCAGAGAATCCTTCCTCGTCCTCCAAGGAGACCAGATTAGATTAGCCCAAGATTAATGCAGATTAAAATCAATTACTTCGTATACTTGCGGATAAGCCCCTCTGTGGATAAGCCCACTCTTTTGAAATGTTTGCCGTGTTTTTATTTTCCCCAGTTGGCTTAACTGCAGGTGGCAGAAGCTTCATGGTATTTTGGGGGTTTAAAATTTGCAGAGTTTGTTTATTCGTGGATGGTTTTAAAAGGATGGGTGAATATGCAATGCAATAGAATAGAGCTGGAAGGGACTTTGGAGGTCTTCTAGTCCAGCCCCCTGCTCAAGCAGGAGACCCTATACCAGCGATGGTGAACCTTTTAGGCACTGAGTGCCAAAAAATCACACGGAAACATTGTGCGCACACGCTCATTGGGGCCGCGCTCTGGAAAAGCCGAACTTCTGGGTTCTAGTGCATGTGCACACCGATTTCCGGCATTGTCACGTGCATGAAGGACAACTGATTGTCATGTATGCATGTGCGCCAGAAACCTGGAAGACAAACAGGCAAGGCTGCGTGTGCCGGGCGACATGGCTTCACGTATCACTTTGGGCACCACGTGTCATAGGTTCACCATCATGGCCCTATACCCGTGATGGCGAATCTATAGCACGTGTGCCACAGGTGGCACGCGTAGCCATATCAGTGGGCACACCAGCTCAGCTCTGGTGCGCATGCACGTGCCAGTCAGCTGATTTTCGGGCCTTCTGGGCCCACCAGAAGTAGGGAAAAAGGCTATTTCCTGCCTCCGGAGGGCCTGGGAGTGGGGGAAGGCCCATTTTTCTTTCTCATCTTGCTCCAGATCCTCTCTATGCGTCTGGGGAGGGCGAAAACAGCCTTCCCGCCCCCACTCAGAGGCTCTCCAGAGGCCCAAAATGGCCCATTTCCCAACTTCCAGTTGGACAGGAAGTGATGTTTTTTGCTGTCCCCAGCCTCCAGAGACTCCTAGAGAGGCGGGGTGCATAGAATTATGGGTGTGGGCACGTGTGTGAACCTACCCCGCCCGCCCCCCACCTTCCTGGCACGCGATGGCAAAAAGGTTAGCCATCCCTGCCCTATACCATTTCAGACAGGTGACTTTTTAATCTCTTCTTAAAAACCTCCAGTGATAAAGCACCTACAACTTCTGGAGGCCAGCTGTTCCCCTGGCTAATTGTCCTCCCTATTAGGAAGTTTCTCCTTAATTCCAGGTTGCTTCTCTCTTTGATCAGTTTCCATGCATTGTTTCTTGTCCTGCGTTCTGGTGTTTTGGAGGATAATTTGTCCCACTCCTCCCTTGGCAGCCCTTCAAATACTGGAATACTTCTATCATGTCACCCCTAATTAGGATGCAGTGGCTCAGTGGCTAAGACACTGAGCTTGACAGTGTCGAAGGGTTGGCAGTTCAGCGGTTCGAATCCCGAGTGCCGCGTAACGGGGTGAGCTCCCGTTCCTTGTCCCAGCTTCTGCCAACCTAGCAGTTCGAAAGCACATTAAAAAAATGCAAGTAGAAAAATAGGGACCACCTTTGGTGGGAAGGGAACAGCGTTCCATGCGCCTTTGGCATTGAGTCATGCCGGCCACATGACCACGGAGATGTGTTCGGACAGCGCTGGCTCTTCGGTTTTGAAATGGAGATGAGCAGCGCCCTCTAGAGTCAGGAACAACTAGAACATACGTGCGAGGGGAACCTTTACCTTTACCCCCATAATTCTTCTTTTCTCTAGACTAGCCAAACCCAAATCCTGCAGTCATTCTTCATATGTTTTAGTCTCCAGGCCTTTGATCATCTTAGTTGCTCTTCTCTCAACTTTTTCCAAAGTCTCAACATCTTTTTGGTGACCAAAATTGGTTGCAGTATTCCAGGTGAGGTCTTACTAGGGTTTTGTAAAGCACTTAGGACCACAATTGGGACTGGAATGTCTGACACTAAGCAGTGTGTTCATTAAGTGAGCCATGCTGAATTGTATGTTTTTTTTTTGCCACGGTCCTTAAATGAATCACTGCAGTCACTAAGGTGAACCATGCCATTGTTAAGCAAATCCTGTTTCTCCTCTTGACTTTGTTGGTAGTCCAAATGGCCACCATGTGCCCTCCGGATGCTGCGACGGTCGTAAGAATGTGAACAGTTTCCAGATGCTTGAATTTTTTGAACCTGTGACTGCAGGGACACTTTTAATTGTCGTAAGTGCGAGGACGGGTCGCAAATCCCTTTTTTCAGCGCGCTTGTCATTTCAAACGGTCACTAAATGAACTGGTTGTAAGTTGAAGACAGTAATGTGGATACTTTAAAAAAAGTGCAGGTAGTCCTTGACTTAAGAACTGTTCATTTAGTGACCACTCAAAGCTACAACACGATGAAAAAAGGGACTTATGACCGTTTTTACACTTGCCGCATCCCTGCGGTCATGTGATCAGAATTCAGAATGCTTGGCAACTGGCATGTACTTAGGACGGTTGCAGTGTCCTGGAGTCACACGATCCTTTTTTGCGACCTTCTGACCAGCGAAGTCAGTGCGGAAGCCCGATTCACTCAACAACCGTGTGACTAACAACTGCAACGGTTCATTTAACAACGGGGGCAAGGAAGGCCGTAAAATGCGACAAAACTAACTTAGCAAACGGTTGCTTAGCGACAAAAATTTGGGGCTCAATTGCGGTTGTAAGTCAAGGATTACCGGGAATGACCGTCTCCCCCTCGTCCATAAGCCGATCCAAGTTTTTTGGAGCACATTTTAACCCCTAAGATTCTCAGCTCATCTGCCTGTATAGATAATAGTGTGGAAGTTCTCTAGAGCAAGGGCGTCAAACTCAAGACCTGGGGGCTGGATCCGGCTCACGGGGTGCTTAGATCTGGCCCACGGGGCCACCCTGGAAACAGCACAGGACTGGCTTGCAGTGCCTCTGCCAGTGAAAACGGAGCTCAGTCCTCCCAAGCTCCATTTTCACTGGCAGAGGGTCGCAGGAGGCAGTGTCAGCTGAAAACAGAACTCGGAAGCCCATTTTCGCTGGCAGAGGGTCGCAGGAGGCGGTAGCAGCCGAAAACAGAACTCGGAAGCCCATTTTCGCTGGCAGAGGGATGCAGGAGGCCGTGGCAGCCGAAAACGGAACTCGGGAGCCCTTTTTCGCTGGCAGAGCGCTCGGGCCACCACAGGCGCCTCCGACATGAGTGAAGTCGAGCTGGCCACGCCCCCCTGCCCCCCCCAAGGTCAAACACAACCCTGATGCAGCCCTCAATGAAATCGAGTTTGACTCCCCTGCTCTAGAGGATATTTCTGGAATATTCAGGCGGCTGGTTCTTCTGCCTGGGGGCGGGACGGGGGGGTGGATACTGTTTTGCAAGAGACTTGGGAAATTACATCACGCTTAGCGCCTGAGCTGTAGATTGCGCTTGGCTGACGGCGCCTTGCTTTGCGTGGGGTGTCTCGGAGACGTGCAAAAAACACGTCTTCGCAGGTCTAAAAACAGACGGAAAAGCAACAGCTTTTTCTACCTAATCTACATTGGGACGCTTGGCAACCGGCTTGTACTTACGTCGTTTGAGGTGTCCCAGGGTCATGTCATCCCCTTTTACGACCTTCTGAGAAGCTGCTCGGCGTAAGTTAATTGTCCTCTTTCCACCCTAGACCGGTTGGATGATGTGGAACTGGCTGGTGTCTGCTCTCGCGGTGGGGGCCTCGGTGGTCCTGTACGACGGCTCCCCCCTGGTTCCTTCTCCCAACGTCTTGTGGGACTTGGTGGATCGATTAGGGTATGTAAACCATCACTTAGACTTGGCTAAGTGTCTTCAGAGGGACCCTGGTGTGTTTTCAGAGGGTTTGGCCTCTCAGGGTATTGATAAATGAGGTTGATGAGGCTTCAGAAGAAGACAAGGAAGTCCTCCTAGATCAGTGTTGGTGAAGCTTTTTGGCATCGAGTGCCGAAATGGGAGTGCGCACGTGCGCGTGCTCATGGGAGCACCAGAAACTGGAAGAGTGGCTGCGTGGTGCACATGCGCGGGAGCACCGGAAACTGGAAGTGCAGCTCCCTGGTGCACATGCACGGGAGCACCAGAAACCAGAAGAGCAGCTCCCTGGCACGCATGCACGGGAATACCGGAAACCAGAAGAGCAGCTCCCTGTCATGTATGCGCGGGAGCTCCAGAAACCAGAAAAGCAGCTCTCTGGCCCACATGCGTGGGAGCGCCAGAAACCAGAAGAGGAGCTCCCAGTTTCCGGTGCGTGCGAAGCTGGCCAGCACACATGTGTACACCAGAAACCAGCACACGCTGCGGAGCTGCTCTTCCAGTTTCCGGCACTCCCACGCGCGTGAAGTTCAGCTGCCTGGCGCACATGTGCGTGCTGGAACCCGGAAGAGCGACGGGCAACGGCTGGCATGCCCAGAGAGATGGCTCTGCATGCCACTTCCGGCACGTATGCCATAAGTTCACCATCACGGTCCTAGATAAGATCTAGGACGGGGTGGGCAACTGAGGCCCTTTTACAACTTGTGGACTTCAACTCCCAGAATGTCTCAGGAATTCTGGGAGTTGAAGTCCACAGGTTGTAAAAGGGCCACAGTTGCCCACCCCTGATCTAGGAGAAGATCTGTTACTCAGCTGGATTCTCAGTTTTGAGTAGTAGCTTTGAGAAGCAGAACCATAATTCCTTTTTGAGGGATTTGAACCTTCCTTGATTTGTTGCACATTGACCCAAGTTTTTCTACGTGGGGGTCACGTGTCCTGCTTTAGATCCAGGGCCCGTTCCCCCATATAAGAAGCCACTTTTTGTGGTCAAGAGGAATTCTCTGTGTAGCTTGTAGAGGTTTGGAAAAGTGGGAGGACCATCTGAAGTGGTGGGACACCTTGATGGGAGAAAACAGGTTTTTCGAACTTCTTAATATTCCATGAAAATGTTCCCCTCTGCAAATCCTTCACTTGGCAGTAGAAATTAATTTCCCGAGAATTCCTTGAAGAAACTCACATCTGAGGTTATCAACCATAAACAAGGATTGTTCTTCTCTGGCTACAGAATTACCATCCTTGGGACAGGGGCCAAGTGGCTGGCAGTGCTGGAAGAGAAGAACCTGAAGCCGTGTAAGTATTAAGGCCTCTGTTGGGGTTTTGCATCGCACAAAACGGTGGTTTGTTAAACCGTGGTTTGGCTGAATTCACACGTGGCCCATAACCACCTAAGTAACCACCATGTTATGGGCAAAGTAACTGAACCCGATCACGCTTTTCTTGTTTCCCTTTAATTTTGGAGCCTACCGTATTTTTCGGACTATAAGACGCTGCTAAATTTAGAAGTGGAAAACAACAAAAAAGTTTTTGGCCTCCCTTTTTTTTGGAGCCTTTTTCTGGCCCTTTTCCAGTCTTTTTTCAGCCTGTTTTCAAGGCTTTTTTCGGTCCATTTTCGAGGCTTTTTTCAACCTGTTTTTGGGGGCTTTTTTCAGCTTGTTTTCAAGGCTCTTTTTGGCCCATTTTTTTGGCTTTTTTCGGCCTGTTTTGGGGGCTTTTTTCAGCCCATTTTCAAGGCGCTTTTTGGCCCATTTTCAAGGCTTTATTTGGCCCGTTTTCAAGGCTTTTTTGGCCTGTTTTTCCCAAAAAGGGCAAAAAAAAAAAAAGCTGAAAAAGGCTGAAAAAAAGCCCTGAAAACAGCCCCCCCCCCAAAAAACCCAAAACCCTGAAAACAAGGCCTGAAAACAGGGTGTACGGAGGCCAAAAAATGGCTGGCGGGTGGGCAGGGCTTCGGCAATATTTGGTCTATAAGACGCACAGACATTTTCTCCTCCTTTTGGGAGACACGTCTTATAGTCCGAAAAATACGGTAGTTCTCTCCTGACTATCTCTCATTCCATCCCGTAATATATTCCCAAAGAGTTGCTACCTTATCACAAGCCAGGATGAATAGAAAACCAATCAGCAAGTCTCAAGATGCCGAGACATGTACTTAAATATGAGCTCTGGCTTTTGACATGGTTTGAAGCTTGGTTGACTTCAGGTGGTGGAATGTCGTGGCTACGTTCCCACCATCTTGTAAGTCATTGATTGAAACACTTGCTGGGACCCCTTGAAGAGGTGGTGGGACATTTTGAGTAAAAACACCACCAACTGAGCTTCTTTTGAAATGCTTTGGGCAAGAAACATTTCGTGTTCCTTTAGTTTACTGGCCTGAGTTTAGAATTTTCCCCCATGGTAGTGTTGTGGCCCATCAGCGGCCGGTGCAGCTGGTGGCTGATTCAGACAGCGAGGAGACTGGTGTGGTGCTGTGCCAGCAGCCTGTGCAGCTGGCACTCGAGTCGGACAATGAGGAGGCTGGAGAAGATGTGGTGCCAGAGGCGGGGATTCAGCCAGGGCCTTCAGAACCTCCAGAAGCTCCCATAAGTGAAGAGGAAGAAGAGGAGGAGCCTCTTCTTGATGCACGGGTGGGCAGAGCTGCCAAAAGGCAGGAGTGGCTCCTCAGGAGGAGGTCTCCTTGAGAGTAAGGCTTGGGGCTAATTGGCCACTCCCTTAGCCTATTTAAGGAGGAACGCCAACTGAACCAAGTTGTAGGGAACAACTTTAGTTCATTCTCCTTCGCATCTGGATTCTCTGCAAATTGCTTCTGGGCTTTCTGCCAACCTTAGTAAGATTATAATTACTTTATCTTTGGTTTCTTGTAGGCTGTTAAGAAAGTTTCTTAACAGCCTTTGTTTGGAAAAGACTAAGTTATTTTAGTAAATTTAAGTTTTGTGTGTGCTGCGTTCTTTGGGGTCCGTAGCTGGAGCAGAACAGGTGGTTGGTTCTACTTCGCCTGGTTAAATCTGGGAGTCCATCAAAAGTCTTTGACTTCAACACTTGGAAGTCCCAGCTGTGATCAGGCCAGATCAGCCCCACCACAACTGGTTGTAAGAGAGATAGTGTTCTGTTCTCCAAGCTTCACAATACTGTTGAAATAGAGGGAGGGTCGGTGGACCTGGATTTACGTCTTTGGTGTTTTCTTCTCAAGGTGAAACCCACAACCTTCAAACCCTCCACACCATCTTGTCCACCGGGTCGCCCCTCAAGCCTCAAAGTTATGAGTACGTCTACAAGCACATCAAGAGCAGTGTCCTCCTGGGCTCCATTTCAGGTACCGAAAATCTGCGTGCGAGACTCGTGCAGATATAAGTGAGGAGGACAAGGGACACCGATCATCGTCATAGCCACGCCATCTTGCCTGCTTTGTTTTCACCTAAATTTAGCTCGACCATTGTCTTTCATCGGTTGGTTGATTAGACTGTTCGTCTGCCTCTTAATTTTGACCCACAAACTGAAGTAGGTCAGGCTATGAGTGAGCGGCCTCTGGAGAGACCAGTGCAACATCTGAAGATGGTTAGTTGACACTTGCAAGCTTAGGTGGCTAAGATAATTCATTACTCCCTGAATCTGTGCTTCAACTCATGGGCAGCACGAAACTCAAGTTATTGGAGATCTTTCCAGGGTTTGGGTGATTGTGATTGGCCCAAAGTCACTTTGTAGGGAACCAGGGTATCTCCCTAGGCAGGACAGCCCCTTCCCAGTGGTGGGATTCAGCCGGTTTGTTAAATTGCTGCCTGTCCTTGCCCCTTCCCTCCCCGCCCCTTTCAGGAATCCCTACACACCCCATTTTGGCTCTTGGTAAGTGCAGGGAGGTCTAGGCCCAAAATGGGGCGGCGGGTGCAGCCCCCCCCCCCCCCCCCCGTGGCCCATTTTCACTTCCAGGAGGCTGCAGGGAGCCCTCCTAGGCCCATTTTTGCTCCCAGGTGGGTACAGGAGGCCGAGGGCTGCCTCTCACACCCCCTGGTCACGCCCACCATGGTCACGCCCACCCAGCCGGTCATTAGGGCAGAGAACCGGTTGTTAAATTATTTGAATCCCACCACCGCACCTTCCCCACCTTCTCCACCCTAGCTGTTTGGCTGAGAGAGACGAGGTGTCCCAAAGTCACCGTGAACTTCTATGTTTGAAGATGAACTAGAATCTGGATGTCTCCACCCTTAATCCAACATCCACCGCATCACATTGGCTATGATGAGGTTCTGGGTGAGCATTGAATCCACCTTGAGTCTAATTAAGTGTCAAACTTTCTAACTGGACGATCTCAACTGGACAAGCCACTAGAGACAAGGACTGTCAGGGTAATGATGATTTAAAGCTGACCAGCCGTTGTAAGGCAGTAAACCGAGAAGATAACTGAGGATGAGTCAGCAGGGTTATTGCCCCTTTAAGAAGCTGTCTATATAAGGGAGGCCATTAGAGAGCGTCTCCCTCTCTCCTTGTGTATCACTCTGTTGTGTTCTATCTGCATTGTAGCTCTCCATGTAGAGTTGAAGATTGCTTGCTTGCCTGGTATGTGCCTACCACGTGTCTGTCTGTATATAGACGTCTTGTATATAAACCACGTTTATAATGACAAAACCTCTCTGTCCTGTATTTTACTCCTGGGTTGTCTCAAAATAGTAGTCACGCTGTAAACACTCTGATAAGGTATAAGAGCTAGCTATGACTTACGGGCAAACTGGAATCATCTCTAGATGTTTTGTCCACCATTCGCTTCTTAAACATAGGAACCTTGACCCTTTGGTGAGCTGCCCTGACAAGATTTTATCTCTCTCTCTCTCTCTCTGATTTTAGGAGGCACCGATATAGTGTCCTGTTTTATGGGTCATAATGTAACCATCCCAGTTTACAAAGGCGAGATCCAGGCGCGGAATCTTGCAATGGCGGTAGAAGCGTGGAATGAGCAAGGTAGGCCTGTTAGACCCACCTCACCTTCCTGGATGGTTCTCTATGATGGTTTCTTCAAATCAGAGCAGTGAAAGTAGAACAAATTATTAGGAACATCTAAGGATCATTACTCAAATTGGGAATTTTTTCCTGTCCTCTCCTATCCGGGTGGAGAAGGCTTGTCCACAGGAGCTGGACCTGTTTGATGGCCTTCAGCTCTTCTCTTCTTGGATATTTTCTTGTAGACGTTTCATGATCCAGATAGGTGACATCATCAGTGCTAGAAGGGAGTGGGGATTTGCTCTCTGCTTTATACCCCAATACAATAGCCCAATCAAGCAACTACCAACTTGCTAAACAAAAGTCTAATCAAGGGACCACCAAGAAGAAAACAACACTCCCATCAATACTAACAGGACAAGCCAATTGTCTTTAAATAGACAGAAAATCCTTCTCCCTTCTAGCACTGATGATGTTACATAGTTGGGTCATGAAACCACCAAACTGCAAGAAACACCAAACTCAGAGTACCAAGGATCCCACAGTTCTTCTCCTCCTCCTCTCCCTCCCCCTTTTCTCCATTAGACCCACCTCACCTTCCTGGATGGTTCTCTATGATGGTTTCTTCCAAATCAGAGCAGTGAAAGTAGAACAAATTATTAGGAACATCTAAGGATCATTACTCAAATTGGGAATTTTTTCCTGTCCTCTCCTATCCGGGTGGAGAAGGCTTGTCCACAGGAGCTGGACCTGTTTGATGGCCTTCAGCTCTTCTCTTCTTGGATATTTTCTTGTAGACGTTTCATGATCCCAGATAGGTGACATCATCAGTGCTAGAAGGGAGTGGGGATTTGCTCTCTGCTTTATACCCCAATACAATAGCCCAATCAAGCAACTACCAACTTGCTAAACAAAAGTCTAATCAAGGGACCACCAAGAAGAAAACAACACTCCCATCAATACTAACAGGACAAGCCAATTGTCTTTAAATAGACAGAAAATCCTTCTCCCTTCTAGCACTGATGATGTTACATAGTTGGGTCATGAAACCACCAAACTGCAAGAAAACCACCAAACTCAGAGTACCAAGGATCCCACAGTTCTTCTCCTCCTCCTCTCCCTCCCCCTTTTCTCCATTCCAGAAACTCCATTCCCTTCTAGCACTGATGATGTTAGTGTTGTGGTCCGCCAGCAGCCTGCGGAGCTGGCAACGGAGTCGGACAGTGAGGAGGCTGGGGAGGAACATGGGCCAGTCCTGGAGTCTGGGGAAGGCCTGGACGAGGGCTCTGCGTCGGAGGCAGAGATGGGGCCTGGGCCATCTGGGAGTGATGCGCTGACTCCGGAACCCCCAGAGTCGGACAGCAGAGAGGCAGAGGAACAGGAGGAGCCTGTTCCTAGTGCACGCATGCGCAGAGCTGCCAGAAGGCAAGAGCAGCTAAAACAAAAGGGATGACTTGGGAGTAAGGTCAGGAGATGATTGGCCCCTCCCATAAGGCTTAAAAGAGAAACAAAGGCACTTGGGCCTTTTGCAGGAAAGCAACGTTGCTAACTCTGTTTCCAGTCGGCATCCCTTGTTTGTATCTGAACTTCGTGTGGCTTTGCCAAATAAAAGGCCTTTGGCAGGGTGTCAAAGAAGATAAAGGTTGGTGATTATCCCGAAGGACTTCTTCTGAAGGACTTGTTTTGCAAGTAATTGGGACTCAGCTGGGAATGAACGTAATTCTCAGCTGTTACAATAAAATAGGTTTGTTTGGGACTAATTGTGTATTTTAATGACTCAGTAAGCCTAGGTCACAACAGTTACGTAGTTGGGTCATGAAACGTCTACAAGAAAACCACTGTCAGCTTGCAAAGCTTTCAAGTTGCCATGAGCAGGAGGGAGGGAGAACTGATAGAGCTGATTGATTTCCCTAACTGAAGTGCATTCCATACATTCTTCCTGACCGCAATCAGAAGGAGGGTGTTGGATTTCACAGCCAGCCAAAGTGGTTAATTGGAGAATGTGATTTATGATATGGCCAGAGAGGAGGGGAGAGACAGGGTCATAGGGGAACGTAAATCTACGCGGGATCAGTCCTAACTGCATCTGAATATTGCCGAAATGGTGCTCCTAATAAATGACTGTATTTCTTTTGAAGTTCGGCTCATGGCTCATGAATTAATTAAAGTATCTTTCGGAAACTTAACAACCAAACTCAAGAGTACCAAGGATCCCACAGTTCTCCTCCTCCACCTCCTTCTCCTCCTCCTCCACCTTTTCTCCATTCAAGAAACTCCATTCCCTTCTAGTACTGATGATGTTACATAGTTGGGTCATGAAACATCTGCAAGACCACCACCAAACTCAGAGAGCACCAAAGACCACACAGTTCTCCAACCAATGAGCTACAAATATTCCCTTTCTATTGGGTCACCTAAATTGGTAAATTGGATTGATGAGGAGCCGGAATCCACGTCAAGGAAGTGACCTCCGCTATTGTCAGCCGAGAAACGAAATCAGGTGTCCCATCAGCAGAGCTGCCATTAAGCCCTGTGCAAACAGTTAAGCAAGACTTAAACCAGGAGGGAGGAAAATAAACCTTTGATTTGATTTTTTTCCCCTTTCTTTCTTTCTCAACCAGGGGAGCCTGTTTGGGGAGAAAGCGGTGAGCTGGTTTGCACCAAACCAATGCCTTGCCAACCCACACATTTTTGGAACGATGAAAACGGCAACAAATACCGAAAGGCGTATTTTTCCAGATTTTCAGGTATGTGGTGAGCGAGCCGTGCCCTTCAAGCTGAAGACTCCCAAAGGTCTTTATTTTTTTCAGGAGGCAACTGGATTTCCTTGTTTTGTTTTTTTTCTTTTGAAGACGTTTTGCTTCTCATCCAAAAGAAGCTTCTTCAGCTCTGACTTGGATGGTGGGGAATGGAAGGATTTATACTCCTTGCAGACAGATGGTCCTTTGCATCCTTTGAGGGGGTCGTTGAGGCCACTTGGAGGTTTCTCTGTGTCCTCAGGGTCACCTGAGTGGTGCAAATGGTTCCTGTAGTCTGCAATTTTTTCCTCTGGAAATCCATTCCTACTCCCCCACCTCTCAAAGGGTGTTCATCCCAAATTGCATAGCTAAAAGTCTGTAGAGATTCTCAGTCATTCAGGTCATGGTTGCCCCAAATGTGCAACTGGACTTTCTTGTTTTTCTTTGAAGACATTTCGCTTCTCATCCAAGAAGCTTCTTCCGCTCTGACTTGGATGGTGGGGAACGGAAGGATTTATACTCCTTGCAGACAGCTGGTCCTTTGCATCCTTTTAGAGGGTCCTTGAGGCCACTTGGAGGTTTCTCTGTGTCCTCAGGATCACCTGAGTGGTGCAAATGGTTCCTGTAGTCTCCAATTTTCCTCTGGAAATCCATTCCTACTCCCACATCCTTCCAAGGGTCTTCATCCCAAATTGCATAGCTAAAAGGTCTGTAGAGATTCTCAGTCATTCAGGTCATGGTTGTCCCAAAGATGCTTTTTCAAGAGGAAGCTGGACTTTCTTTTTCTTTTGAAGACGTTTTGCTTCTCATCCAAGAAGCTTCTTCAGCTCTGACTGGATGGTGGAGGATGGATGGATTGATATTCCTTGCAGACAGCTGGTTGTTTGCATCCTTTTAGAGGGTCCTTGAGGCCACTTGGAGGTTTCTCTGTGTCCTCAGGGTCACCTGAGTGGTGCAAATGGTTCCTGTAGTCTCCAATTTTTTTCTCTCTGGAAATCCATTCCTACTCCCACACCCTTCCAAGGGTCTTCATCCCAAATTGCATAGCTAAAAGTCTGTAGAGATTCTCAGTCATTCAGGTCATGGTTGTCCCAAAGGGGCTTCTTCAGGAGGCAACTGGACTTCCTTGTTTTTTCCTTGAAGACATTTCGCTTCTCATCCAAGAAGCTTCTTCAGCTCTGACTGGATGGTGGGGAATGGAAGGATTCATCTCTAGACAGCTGATTATTGCAGGCTGCAGGAACCCGGAGCACCACTCAAGTGACCCTGAGGACACAGAGAAGCCTTCAAGTGGCCTCAACGCCCCTCTCAAAGGATGCAAATGACCATCTGTCTGCAAGGAGTATAAATCCTTCCTTTCCCCACCATCCAAGTCAGAGCGGAAGAAGCTTCTTGGATGAGAAGTGAAACATCTTCAAAAGAAAAAGCAAGAAAGTCCAGCTGCCTCCTGAAAAAATAAGGACCTTTGGGACAACCATGACTTGGAGGACTGAGAATATCTACAGACCTTCAAGTGGAGACTGTGTTTGCTTACGTGTGTGTGTTTGCTTTCCGTCCTTCCTAGTCCCTTTACAGTAAACCAATATTTGCACACACCCATCAAGAATCGGACCAATATTTGCCTAAGGAATTGCCATTCTGATAGGGCCGGCCTCTGGATCCTTGCCTCTATTTGACTTTCTGATTTCCTTTCACTCTGCCAGCGAAAGATGGAAAATGGTTTTGTGTGTCATTCTTTTCTCTTTTTTAAACACCTTTTCCGGCTTCTGAAACGAGCTGGTTTCCAACCGGGTTATATTTCACAAATATAAATTCTTTGTAGAATTGAACAAAATCACTAGGAAATTTGGGGAGGGAAAAAACCCAGAATTTCGCTAAAAACGTTGCAGGACAATAGAAGCAGGGGAGACTTTGGACTCCCAGCATGGGAAATCTACCTGTTCTGTCCCTGTCCCACACACGCACCCCCGCAGACGGCCCGGAGTTAATAAGCCACACGACAAAGTCTTTGAAGATAAAGCTGGCAGCAACCCAGTGGCTAGCTGCCAATTCAGACTTTACTCACACAAAACAAAGATTAGACTGCCAGCATTCCGATAAAGCAGGCAAAGTTTCAGCAATACAAGGATTAGTCCAAATGCAGTCCGACAAGGCAGGCAGAAGTCCAGTAACGCAGAGATCATGGATTATTTCTAGTTTTTGCTCGTCACAAACTGAACTGGCCACCACACCCACATTTATACCCTGTGGGGTGTGGTCCAGTGACTCAGCTAATCTCTGGCACACCTTCCCCTCTGCTGCGCACGCTTCTCCCTGCGCCGCTGTCGAGGATCCAGCCAGCACTTATCTCCGTCGCTGTCCACCTGTGGCTGCGGGGACGTGCTTGGCTCTGGACGTATCTCTTGGCCTTCGGTGTCCTCCGGAGGCATTGCCAGAGAGGAGGGTCCTGGAGAGGGAGGCCTTGCCAACTCCTCTCCCTCATTCTCAGAGTCTGCATCTGTCGATAGCCCAGGCTCAGGCAACGGAGCCACAACACTACCATAAAGCGGCCAATTTAGTCCGGATAAAGGAATGGATTACTTTAGAAAATAAAAGAATTTTGATGCTAGAAGGGCACGACTTAGAGAGGCTGGCACGTGTATTTATGGGACAAGGAAAAGGGGAGAAAATCATACTTCCACAGACACAGGCTACGGGATACACTATTACAAACGTGGAAGGAAATTGGGCTAAAACAACACAAGAAGATTCCAAACTGGCTTTCAGTAATGGAGGCCATGATATATCCCAATGCCCTAGCAATAGATAAAATGTACAGGTACAAGGATATTTTAGGTAGTTGCGGAAACCTCAAAAACAAATGAATCACTCAAAGAACAGGGCATCTACATTGTCAACTCAACTGATCCATTTGGGGGTACACTGTTATAATTTTAAACTGTTTTTAATAGGGTTGTTGATTTTAATTTTATTTCATTGTGATTTGTATTGGAATTTGTCATTTTGTAAGCCGCCTTGAGTCTCCAGGGAGAAAGGCGGCATATAAATCATAATAATAATAATAGTAATAGTAATAGTAATAATAATAATAATAATAATTGACTGATGGCCATATCTACAGATCAAATCTAGGTATCAAAAAGATAAGGAGGAATTTGGTATAGAGACGGGATCAAACAGATTTGACAAATTATTGACGGGCACAGAAAGTAAAATTTCACAATGCAGAGACTGACAGCTTCCGAGGCTGCCATGGTGTCACCCGTCAGATATCACAACTCTCCTCTTTAGTCTTGTCTGGCACGCACGACCCCGAGCTGCGATGTTGTCACACCCCTGTTTGCAAACCTCTGAGAGGCAAGAGTGGGGGGCTCTCATGTGGAGGGGAGGTCAGATTTTTCTGACGACGTCGTCAACACAACTCTCCTCTTTAAGTCTCTGCTGATCTAGAATAGAATGGACAAACAGAGTTGGAAGGGGCCTTGGAGGTCTTTGAGGCCAGGTGTCTCCAACCGCGGCAACTTTTAAGGCTTGTGGACTTCAACTTTGGAGCTTTGCTGGCTGAGGGATTCTGGGAGTTGAAGTCCACAAGGCTTAAAGTTGCCAAGGTTGGAGACCCCTGTTCTAATCCAAATGATTGTCCAGCCTCTTCTTAAAAACTTCCAATGTTGGAGCACCCACAACTTCTGGAAGAATAGACTAGGCCAGGGGTCTGCAACCATAAACACTCAAAGAGCCATTTGGACCCGTTTCCCACAGAAAAGAAAACACCGGGAGCCACAAAAACCCTTCCCGTGCCTGACTATTTCTCGAGCGGCTACAAAACTAGCATAGGTAGTTGAATTAAACGTTCTGTTTTCTTCTGAAACTTTTCTTTTCTTGGATTTTATTCATGGTAGGCCTACCAGGGATTGAAAAGCTCAATAAATCGCATGTCAACGGGTGTTGCACATTGGCGGTTGTGACGCGTATTTTGAGCGACAGGGAGCCACAGCAGAGGGATGAAAGAGCCACATGTGGCTCCAGAGCCACAGATTGCTGACCTCTGGACTAGACTAGACTAGAGAATAATAGAGAATAGAGAATAGAGAATAGGAATGGAATGGAATAGAATAGAATAGAATACAATGGAATGGAATGGAATGGAATGGAATAGAATAGAATAGAATAGAATAGAATAGAATAGAATAGAATAGAATAGAATAGAATAGAATAGAATAGAATAGAATAGAATAGAATAGAATAGTTGGAAGAGACCTTGGAGGTCTTCTAGTCCACCCCCCTGCTTAGGCAGGGAACCCTACACCACTTCAGACAAATGGTCATCCAACCTCTTCTTAAAAACTTCCAGTGTTGGAGCATTCATAACTTCTGCAGGCAGGTTGTTCGTTCTCACTGTCAGGAAATTCCTCCTTAGTTCTAAGTTGCTTCTCTCCTTGATGAGTTTCCACCCATTGCTTCTTGTTCTACCCGCAGGTGCTTTGGAGAATAGCTTGACTCCCTCTTCTTTGTGGCAGCCCCTGAGATATGGGAACACTGCTATCCTGTCTCCCCTAGTCCTTCTTTTCATCAAACTAGACAATCCACAACCCAAGTATGCAACTCTTCAAAAGGCTGCAAGATGGCGACGTGGTAGCAGTTTTAAAAAACATTATGTTTTTGTGGGAATTTGATTAACCACTTTGTGGGTTTTTTTTCCTGGACAGGTGTTTGGGCCCACGGAGACTACTGCAAAATTAACCCCCAGACAGGCGGGATCATCATGTTAGGCCGCAGGTGAGCTTGTCACTAAGAAGTGACCCATTGGGAAAAACATCTGTTTGGATCCCGATTGGCTGACGATGGGTGGAAGGAAGGATGAAAAGGACCAGGGATCCACCGTAGAGTGGAGACAGGAGTCCTTCTCTGCCCACAGAAAGTTCCAGGTTTAATTCCTGGCAATTTGGGGTTGGGGAAAAAAAGAAAGTCTGAATTGCAATTCGGGATAGCGTGGCCGGAGGAGATCTATAGATCCTTCTCTTTCTTTGATCTGCTTTCCATTTTTGGAATGAATCTTGGAATAACTAGAGAATGTCTAGAAGAAGGCTGCTAAATATCTGAAATAACTAGAGAAAGCTGCTAAAAGCCATCTCCAAAGTAGGAGCTTGCTTCTGATGGAAACCCGTGCAGGTAGTCCTTGACTTAGAACAGTTCGTTTAGCGACCGTTCGAAGTTACAACAGCACTGGAAAAAAGTGACATTACCGTTTTTCACACATTGTGCCACGGTGGCGCAGTGGTTAGAGTGCAGTACTGCAGGCTACTTCTGCTGACTGCCGGCTGCCTGCAATTTGGCAGCTCGAATCTCACCAGGCTCAAGGTTGACCTTTCCTTCCTTCCTTCCTTCTTTCCTTCCTTCCTTCCGAAATCAGACCATGATTCAGAAATAACCCAAACAAACAACATTCAGACTAATTTGCAACTCATGGAAAAGTATGTAAAGACCTGTGTTCTGACAGATGAGCGCACGGACGATGTCTCCTCGAATGGGGACGACACGTTTGCAACCAAATCGCCAAAGCTCGGAGCTCAGAGCAACAACGTAACTACCAACCCGAGCTACTGATATTCCAAAGACATTTCAAAGAAATCCTTCTGTAAGGATTAGGGGCTTGGGGTGGGGGCACATTTAACCCGATGAGCTGGAAGAGGGGAGGAGGTTAAGCTGTAGCACATAGTTTTGATTTCCTTGAAAACCCGGTAATCCAAATGAAGATATTCATGGAAACTGGGTGGGTGGGTGGGTCTGTCTGTCTGTCTATCATAGTTTTATTTATTTATTTATTAGTTCGATTTATATGCCGCTCTTTTCCGGAGACTCAGGGCGGCTTACAATGCGTTAAGCAATAGCCTTCATACTTTCGTATATACCTGCTTAGCAGGGCTTTCGCCCCCCCCCCAAGCAGTGTTCTTTTTTATACAAAGTCAGCTTATTGCCCCCACAATCCGGGTCATCATTTTACCTACCTCGGAAGGATGGAAGGCTGAGTCAACCTTGAGTCCGGTGAGAATTGAACTCGCAGTAATTCCAGACAACTGGCAGCTAAGTGCTACTTTAACAGCAGTTTAGTCCGCTGCGCCACCAAGGCTCTTGATAGTTTTTTTGATAGTCTTGTATATTCATATCCTATGTCTATATATGTCTCTTTTTGTCTATATAATCTTTTATATCTATCTATCTATCTATCTATCTATCTATCTATCTATCTATCTATCTCTATCTATCTATCTATCTATCTATCTATCTATCTATCTATCTCATCTGTATCTCATCTGTCTAACATTATCTATCATTGTCTATCTATCTATCTCATCTGTCTATCACCTATCTATCATCTATCTATCATCTATATCAATCTATCATCTATCATCTATCATCTAAATCTATCTCATCTATCTAACATCATCTATCATTGTCTATCTATTTATCATCTGTCTATCATCTATCTGTCATCATCTATCATCTATCATCTAAATCTATCTCATCTATCTAACATCATCTATCATTGTCTATCTATTTATCATCTGTCTATCATCTATCTGTCATCATCTATCATCTATCATCTAAATCTATCTCATCTATCTAACATCATCTATCATTGTCTATCTATTTATCATCTGTCTATCATCTATCTGTCATCATCTATCATCTATCTATCTTCTATATCAATCTATCATCTATCATTTAAATCTATCTCTGTCTATCATCTATCTATCATCTATCTCATCTGTCTATCTAACATTATCATCGTCTATCTATCTATCATCTACTGTATCTATCATCTATATCAATCATCTCTCTATCTCTATCATGTATCTAGTCTTTCTGTTATAGTCGTATATTCATATCCTATAGCTATCTATATCTATCTATCTAATCGATCTATTGTCTTTTTGATATAATCTTGAATATTCATATCATTTAACCTGATGGGCATCTTGGCAAAGCAAGAGGGATGGCATCCCATGTTGCCGCTTTGAGATACCTTAACGATTCTTTTCTGCTGATCTCTTTTTCCAGCGACGGCACGCTGAATCCGAGCGGAGTGAGGTTTGGCAGTTCGGAGATCTACAACATTGGTAAGTGGGGTTTGATTTCTGTCAGCCCTTCCAGGTTGGGAAACAGGGTTATTTATTTATATAGAAGGACTAAGGGTGACGTGACAGCTGTATTCCAATATTTGAGGGGCTGCCCCAAAGAAGAGGGGGGTCAAATTATTCTCCAAAGCACCAGAGGGCAGGACAAGAAACGATGGATGGAAATTAATCAAAGAGAGAAGCAACTTGGAATTAAGGAGAAACTTCCTAACAATGAGGACAATGAACCAGTGGAACAACTTGCCACTAGAAGTTGTAGGTGCTCCATCACTGGAGGTTTTTAAGAAGAGACTAGACAGCCATTTGTCCGAGATGATATAAGGTCTTCTTCCTTGAGCAGGGGGTTGGAGTAGAAGACCTCCAAGGTCCTTTCCAACCCTATTCCAGGTAGTCCTCTACTTACGGCAATTCATTTAGTGACCGTTAGAAGTTACAACGGTGCTGAAACAAGTGATTTACGACCGTTTTTCATACTTAACGATTGTCACAGCATCCCTTTGGCTCACCTGACTTACATTCGGATGCTTTGACAACGGACTCACATTTATGACGGTCGCAGTATCCCAGGGTCACGTGATCCCCTTTTGTGACCTTCTGACTAAAGTCCATGGGGGAGTCAGATTCACTTAATAACCGTGTGACTAATCGAACAGCCACAGTGATCTGCTTAACGAATGTGGCCAGCAAAAGTCGTAAAACGGGACAAAACTCACTCTTAGCAAATTTTTCACCTGGCAACCTAAATTTTGGGCTCAGTTATGGTCGTAAATTGAAGACTTACCTGTATTCTATGTTCTAGACTGGACACAACCAGTCTTAAATTGTATAGGGCCGTGATGGCGAACCTATGGCACGTGTGCCACAGATGGCACACGTAGCCATATCAGTGGGCACATGAACTCAGCTCCGGCCTTCTGGGCCCACCAGAAGTAGGGAAACAGGCTGTATTCTGCCTCCAAGAGGGCCTCAGGGGGTGATGAGGAAGGCCCGTTTTTCTCTCTCCCCAGGCTCCAGAGCCTTTCTAGGAATCTGGGGAGGGCAAAAACGGCCTTCCCCCCCTCCCCCCGAAGGCCCTCCAGAGCTGAAAATGGCCCATTTACCAACTTCCAGTTGGGAAGCTGGGACCGGAAGTTGGCAAACGGGCCATTTTCAGCCTCCAGAGGGCCTCCCAGGGGGGTTGCGGGGGCGGGGCACATAGAATTATGGCTCTTGGCATGCGCACACGTGATGCCCCCCCGCTCCCCCCCGCTCCTGGCACGCAATGGCCAAAAGGTTCGCCATCACTGGTATAGGGTTTCCTGCTTGAGCAGTGGGCTGGACTAGAAGACCTCCAAGGTCCCTTCCAGCTCTATTCTGATCGATTGATTTAAGAAGATTTATCGGGCTGCCCAATTCCCTCTTCAAAGACTCTCCGTGAATACAGGAATGTTACTTCATAGAAACTAATCACCAGTCACCGTTTTCTGTCGGTCCCCGGTTTACATCACACGGAACCAAGACAGGATTACAGATAGTTCTCGACTTGCAACAGTTTATTTAATGGCCGTTTCAAGTTACAACGGCACTGAAAAAAAGGAGCTTATGACCTGTTTTCACACTTAACGACCGTTGCAGCACACACACACACACACACACACACCATAGTCATGGGATCAAAATTCAGATGCTTGGCAACAGACTCCTATTTATGACGGTTGCCGTGTCCCGGGGTCACGTGATCCGCTTTTGCGACCTCCTGACAAGCAAAGTCAACGGGGGAAGCCAGATTCACTTAACAAGCGTGTTACTAACTTGGCAACCGCAGTGATTCAGTTAACAGCTGTGGCAAGAAACGTCGTAAAACGAGGCAAAACTCATCTGTCTGGTTTAGCGATGGAAAATTTTGGGCTCAGCAGTGGTCGTAGGTTGAGGACTGCCTGTATTTAAGGTTTGGGCTGGGATGAAGCTCTTGGCTGAGGGTGCTGTGGGCATGGATTTAAAATAGCGATAGCAATAGCCCTTAGACTTATATACCGCTTCACAGTGCTTTCCAGCCCTCTCTAAGCGGTTTACAGAGTCAGCCTCTTGCCCCCAACAATCTGGGTCCTCATTTTACCAACCTTGGAAGGATGGAAGGATGAGTTGACCTTGAGCCTGTCAGGATTGAACTCCTGGAAGCCAGCAGAATTTGCCTGCAATACTGCATCCTACCCACTGCGCACCATGGATGGATGGATGGATGGATGGATGGATGGATGGATGGACGGACGGACGGAAGGAAGGAAGGAAGGAAGGAAGGAAGGATGGATAATAGCAATAGCACTTACACTTATATACTGCTTCATAATGCTTTACAGCCCTGTCTAAGCATCTTGCCCCCAACAATTTGGGTCCTCATTTTACCGATCTAGGAAGGACATCAACTAAAGACACTAAAGAGTCAACCTTGAACTTGGTGAGATTCGAGCTGCCAAATTGCAGGCAGTCAGCAGAAAGTAGCCTGCAGTACTGCACATTAACCACTGCGCCACCGCGGCTCTTACAAGCCCTTACGGACGCAGCCGTGGCTTTTAACCGTGCCAGAGAGATCTGCGCGTCTCCTTTTCCGAATGGCGCCGTTGCAACGGCTCCTGCGTCCTTCATTTTCAAAGCCCTCTGAACATCTGGTGTGAGCTTCCCCCCCCTCCCCCAGCGGTGCTGAGCTGCCCCCAGGGAAAAGGGAGCCACACAGGACCACTGTCCTCTGGGCATCGTCCTTTCGCTGCGCATGGCAGCCATAACTCTTGGGTGGGCACAAAGAGGTTGTCAGCACGCTGGGATGGATCGCGGGCAAGTGAATCAAAGCACTGTTTGGCTTGAATTCCGCCCTCTGTGGGAGCAATTTCAAAGGCCTTTTTCCCACTCACCCCCAACCCCACTTTTCTGGGTTATTTTCTCCTCTTTATTTTCCTCAAGCAGCCTTTTGTTTTCCTTCCACCCCCCACCCCCGCCGTAAAGACCCTCCTACAGGAGGACTGGAAGAGGGGAGGAGGTTAAGCTGTACCACATTGTTTTGATTTCCTTGAAAACCTGGTGATCCAAATGAAGATATTCATCGAAACTGGGTCTGTCTGTCTGTCTGTCTGTCTGTCTGTCTGTCTGTCTGTCTGTCTAGTATCTAGTCTTTTTGATATAGTCGTATATTTATATCCTATAGCTATCTTATCTAAATGATAGGTTACCTATCTAATCTAACTACCTATCTAATCTTTTATCACTATCATCTATCCATTTATCATCCATCCATCCATCCATCTCTCTCTCTCTCTCTCTCTCTATCTATCTGCCTACCTACCTACCTACCTATCTACCCTGTTTCCCTGAAAATAAGACATCCCCTGATAATAAGCCCAATCAGGCTTTTGAGCACATGATCTAAAATAAGCCTCTCTCCGAAAATAAGACCTCCCCCAAAATATTTAAAACGTAGAGCTGTAAGATGACAAGAGGAGCCCCATCTTCCTCCATGCGCCCCAAAATAATACCTCCCCAAAAATAAGGCCAAGCGCTTATTTCAGGGTTCAGAAAAAATATAAGACAGGGTCTTATTTTCTGGGAAACACAGTATCTATCTACTTTTGATATAGTCTTGTATGTTCATATCCATCCATCCATCCATCCAAATGAAGATATTCATGGAAACTGGGTTTTCACGGAAATCAGAACCAATTTTGTATAGCTTAACTTCCTCCCCTCTTCCAGCCCTCTTATATATTGGTTTATATATTGGCTCAGTCCTGTGAACCTTCTCCAAATATTCCAGCATTTTTCCAAGGAAAATAATCCTTCTTTTGTCCTATCCGCTCTGCTTTTTACAAGAAGCCCTAGACTTACGTCCACAATTGTGAGTGAAATTTCTGCTTCTAAGTCATTGCAGTCATAAATTGAGTCGGCATATGACCGGATCTGATTTCACAACCATTTCACTGCTGTCCTAAATCAAGTCATGTGATCATAGATGTGAATTCTACCTAACCCAGAGGTGGGCAAATGTGGCCCTTTTACAACCTGTGGACTTCAGCTCCCAGAATTCCTGACACAGCTTGGCTGCCAAGCTGTCTCAGGAATTCTGGGAGTTGAAGTCCACAGGTTGTAAAAGGGCCACATTTGCCCACCCCTGGCCTAACCAATGGTGGGCTTTTTTTGCCAGAAATTGGCAAAAAACATTGCAAATCCTGATTATGTTGAGAGTAGGATGTTGCAACCAGCCGTAAAAGCCAAATTGCGAACACATGACAGTTGTAAATTAGAATTTAGGTCCTGACTGACTTTTTCAGAGGCTGCTGTTAATTCAAGGATTGCCTGTGAAAATCCTCTTAAGAATCCTGTCAGGTATTTTATATAGCTTTGTGACAGAGTGGAGATTTGGTTTAGCATTAAGATATCTTTCCAATCGTCGTTTTAAGATTCTCGCCCTATTATGGCCAAAGGTTGGGTTGCTGAGAGGGTCCCATCCCTAAGATTTTGGAGAACAGCAGATCGGAAAAGATAATCCATTGGACACTCCAAGATGGATGGATTTCCTCAACTTCAGTGTTCGGTTGGCATGCAGTTCCTTAAGCCCTGGAGAACATCACGTTGGAGAAGGCCGTTCGTGATACACCACGAGGTGGACTTTTTCTCAACCTCAGTGCACAGAATAGATGAGTTTCTCCAATGTGACGAGGGCTTCAGAACACCAAGTTGAGGAACACCAGGATAGACCACCTAGTGTTGTGGCCTGTTGGCTGCCGGCCCCTCCAGCAGCCAAATCAGTTGAGGAGAAGGAGGCATGGGAGTCAGTGTCGGCATCAAGGCATCAAGAGCTCTGAGGGGAAAGAGGGAATGAAGCTGGCACAGAGAGAGAGAGAGAGAGAGAGAGAGAGAGAGAGAGAGAGAGGCAGAGCCTGGGCCTTCCGTCAGCCCTCAGATGGAGAGTCAACAGCCCCCAGGTCTGGAGGTGACTGATGAGGAAGAGGAGGAACAGCCGGGTCCAGTGCCTTACGCACAGATGCACAGAAGGAGAGGAGAGCAGTGGAAATCTATGGGCCGGTCCTTGGGACGGAAGAGCCACCGCTGCTCACGAAGCCCCACCCTTAGCTTGGGGGTTAAAAGGCAGGGGGTGGAGATGAATAGGCGTGGCAGACGACTATTCATCTCCCTGCTCGACAGTCTTGTTAGCCTGCGGTGAGAGAGAAACTTTTTGCCGAGGCTGCTGGCATTCCTAATAAAGGAAGCGTTGATTGATTTCCGAAGACTTGTCATGTTTGGGGAACTGGATCAGAACACTTGGGCTCAAAGGTTTTCAGAATTATCTGCTGGGGTTCCTGGGGTTCAGATGCTTCATCCACCACTTTGTTTCTCCTTCAGTGGAAGCGTTTGAGGAGGTCTCCGACAGCCTCTGCGTCCCACAGTACAACAAACATGGCGAGGAAAGGGTGGTCCTTTTCTTGAAGATGGGCACCAACCACGAGTTCAGACCCAATTTGGTGAAGCGAATCAGGGAAGCGATTCGGGTGGCCCTTTCGGCTCGTCACGTGCCCAGTCTCATTCTGGAAACGGGAGGGATTCCGGTATGTTCTTAATTTTTTCTGTCCTCCCCTCGGAAGGAAGGAAGGAAGGAATAGAAAAAAGGAAGGAAGGAAGGAACAGGAAAAAAAGGATGGATGGATGGATGGAAGGGAGGAAGGGAGAGAGAAAGGAAGGAAGAGAGAAAAGGAAGGGATAGGAAAAATGGGTGGAAGGAAGGAAGGGAAGGGAGAAATGAAGGAAGGAATAGGAAAGGATGGATGGAAGGAAGGAATAGGAAAAAAGGATGAATGGAAGGGAGGGAGGGAGAAAGGAAGGAAGAGAGAAAGGAAGGAAGGAATAGGAAAAAAGATGGAAGGGAATAGGAAAAAAATGATGGGAGGGAGGGAGGGAGAAAGGAAGGAAGAGGGAATGGAAGGAATAGGAAAAAAAGGATGGATGGAAGGGAGGGAGGGAGGGAGCGAGGGAGAAAAGGAAGGAAGGAATAGGAAAAAATGGAAGGGAGGAAGGAAGAGAGAAAGGAATAGGGAAAAGGATGGATGGAAGGAAGGAATAGGAAAAAAAGGATGGATGGAAGGGAGGAAGAAAGGAAGGAAGAGAGGAAGGATGGAAGAAAAAATAGGAAGGAAGAGAAAGAAAAAAAGAAAAAGAAAAGAAAGGGAAAGAAAGAAGAGAAAGGAAGGAAGGAAGAGAAAGACACCACTTTGGAATGACAATCAACTAAGAAGCAATTATTATTTTCCGGTGCCCACACATGCTTAGACATCTTTTCATTTTTTGTAAATTCGGATTGGAAAGCTATAAATAGTTTATCCCCGTCGCTTAGCAACATACATATGAGCCTTTCATGTTCAATAAGACTCACTTGTTCCTCCTGTAAGGAAAGAATAGCAAATCCCTGATAAAAACAACAGTTGCAGTTTTATAAACCTTTGTTAGGGAAACTCTTGAATAGTTCTTAGCCTTGGCAAATAAAGGGACTTCAGGGTGATTAGCCTTTGGATACAGCCGAATGCAGCTGCCTTTTCATGTGGGCTCCGTTTGCCGTATCGAACGTGGAATAAAATGCACAAAGTAGCCTTGAGCACCACAACAAAAAGGCTAGTTTTTTGTAACTTGACACTGTGTACAGTTGGAGACAATTTTTCTCCCCATTTCTTCTGGGTGTTCATTATTATTTTTTTTTCAAGCTTAAGTGGATCACTCATGAAACGCCATCATAAGCTGCAGGAAAAATATGTTGAAGGAAGAAGGGAGGGAGGTGATAGGAAGGAAGGAAGGAAGAGAGAAGGAAAAATAAGAGAAAAGAAAGGAAAGAAGGAGAGAAGATGAATGAGAGAAAGAAGGAAAAGAGGAAAGAAAAAAAATAGGAAGGGGGATAGAGATGAAGGGAGAACCGCGAGAGAGGAAGGGAGGAGAGCAATAAGGGAGGAGAGAGACAAAAGAAAGGGAGGGAGAGTGAGAGAAAGGAAGGAAGAAGGAGAAATAAGAGGGAAGGAAGGAAAGGAGAGAAGAGAAGAGAAGGTGAATGAGAGAAGGAAGGAAAAGAGGAAAGAAGGAAAGAAAAGAAATAGGAAGGGGGATAGAGATAAAGGAGGAACCATGAGAGTGGAAGGGAGGAGAGAGACAAAAGGGAGGGAGGGAGAGAGGAAGGAAGGAAGAAGGAAAAATAGAAAAGGAAAAGAGAGGAGAAGATGAATAAGGGAAGGAAGGAAAAGACAAAAGAAGGAAAGAAAAATAGGAAGGGGGATAGAGATGAAGGGAGAACTGAGAGGAAGGAAGAAAGGAGAGAAATAAGGGAAGAGAAAGGAAGGAAGGGAAGAAGGGACAGGGTGAGAGGAGAGAAATAAGAGACAGAAAAGGAAGGAAGGAGGGAGGTGAGAGAAGGGAAGGAAGATAGAAGGAGAAATAAGTGAGAGAGAAAAGGAAGGAAAGGAGGAGAGAAGGGAAGGTGAATGAGAGAAGGAAGGAAAAGAGGAAAGAAAAGAAACGGGGATAGAGATGAAGGAAGGAACCTTCAGCGAGGAAAGAAGGAGAGAAATAAGGGAGGAGAGAGGCAAAAGGAAGGAAAGGAAGAAGGGAGGGGAGAGAGAGAAAGGAAGGAAGGAAGAAGGAGAAATAAGTGAGAAAAGGAAGGAAGGAAAGGAGGAGAGAAGGTGAATGAGAAAAGGAAGGAAAAGAGGAAAGGAAAGAAAAATAGGAAGGGGGATAAAGAGGAAGGAAGGCAGGAACCATGAGAGACAAAGGAAAGGAGGGAGGGAGACGGAGAGAAAGGGAGGGAGGAGAGAAGGAAAGAAATAAGAGATAGAAAAGGAAGGAGGGAGGGAGGGCAAGAGAAAAGGAAGAGAAAGAGAAAAGAAGGAAAGGGGAGCTATAGAAAGAGAGAAGAAGGAAGGGAGAGAGGGAAATAACCCATGGCTTTTAAATTCTTAAACCTCAGCTGCTTTGTGTGGACATCAACTCTCAAGAGTTCCCCAGCAGGGATGATGAAGGCTGCAGAACTCTGGGACTTGAAGTCCAAACCTCTTAAAATTGACCAAGTTTGGAAAAACGCCGGTTTCAATCATTAACTTTGATCGACTTACAGGGCGATTTTTCCAGACCAGCCTGGAAACCCAGCGTGCCATCCTTTCATTTTATCTTCTTCCTTCTGCTTTTCTCCCAACGTCTTCCTCCTCCCCTCAGTACACCATCAACGGGAAGAAGGTGGAAGTGGCCGTCAAACAGGTCATAGCTGGCAAGGAAGTGGCCAAGCGGGATATCTTTTCTAACCCAGAGACCCTCGATCTCTACCGTAATATTCCTGAGCTGCAGGATTTTTGAAGGAACCTCGTCTCTTCCCGTCTCTTGGTGTGAGTGTGTGTGTCTCTCTCTCTGCTACGTGCGTTTGCGTGCCTGTGTGTGTGTGTGTGTGTACGCGTGCGTGCATGCGTGTCAGGTTATATCCGGTGTATATAATATGTCTATGGATGATCTCCATAAAAGAAATCGAACTCGAGCGACCTTCTTTCCAGACGGGGACAGGAGAAAACAAAACAAAAGAAAAGAAATCTGATTTATCTGAGCGCTTCGGGAAATAAGAAGAAGGGCTACAAAAATTTAATCTCTATGGATTTGGGGATATGGGTCTCGCTTTGCTTCCGGCTCAGAAAAAAAAAAGGGAATCTGAACTCTTTGGGCAGAACCTTTTCTCCAAACTAGGTGCTAAACAATGGTTTAAATGTCTTCTCATTTGAAAAGCAAGGATGAGTTTTTGGGGCTGGGCGATGCCAGGATGGATCCAAGCTGGCGGGGGAAAAGGGAGCTTGAAAACGGCGGGCTGAATATTTTCAGCAGATGTTTCTCGGTGGGTAGGTGAGAAGGAACCTCTGGAAGAGCCACACGTGGCTTTGTCTCACTGTGGGTGGTTGCAGGAACTTGGAAGGGTATCTTCTCGGTTGAGGTAGAACGTTGGTAGGAAGATAACGGAGTTGGCCGCCATCTTGGTTAAAGAAAACATTGGCCGCCATCTTGGATAAAGAAGACATTATTTTTAAATAATGTCCCCCCCCCCCCCCGAATCCTTAACCCTGCGCGACCAACTTTTCCACTTGAGAAAAGTTTGCTAGTGCAAGGGAACATTTCTTTTAATTTTTTTTTGTTCTTTAAAAGAAAGGGAGAGAGAGAAAGAAAGAGAGATGCACTTTTTATTTAACTTTTTAAAGAAACAAAAACCCTTATGGGAATCAGCAGCATTTTCAGGTCACTTTTGTTGTTAAAAAGGACTCGATTTTTGCAGAAAGATGTTTTTTTTTGGGTGGGATTGGTGATCCTGGGCTGGTGTTCCTTTCCATGGGACCATCAAGTTGATGGTCGTCACTGTTCCACGGGACTGTGGGCCCGTGGATTTTTTTTTTTTTTTTTTAAAGAAATCCGATCCAGTGGCACTTTTGGTGCAGGTTTTGGTGAAGGGTCAGAGGAGGGGGAAAAAAAACAGTTGTTTTTTTCCCCTCAACTCTAGAATTAAAAGCAAAACTTTTTAAAATTGGAGGCGAAATTAAGGTGTCTGGATTCCAGTTCCCAGAATTCCCCAGCCAACCCTGCTGGCTGGGGAATTCTGGGAACTGAAGTCCAGGGCACCTTAAAGTTGCAAAGGTTGAGAGACACAAAGGATTAGATCAGGGATGGCGAACCTTTTAGACACTGAGTGCCCAAACTGCGCGCACGCATGCCCAAACTGGAAGGTGCGTGCGTGCGGATGTGCACATGCCTAGACATGCGCGCATGTGCCACAGAGATCCAAAGACCAGCTGGCCAGTGGGAGGCCGGGCATCCCAACAGCGGCAAGAGGGAAGTTCTTTTTCTTTCGTGAGCTTCTGTTTTGACGTTTGCAGGGAAACAAAAGTAACGTCACGGAGATCTGACCTGGGGGCGACGGTGGGCATGCCAGCAGAGAGGGCTCTGCATGCCACCTCTGGCACGCTTGCCATAGGTTCACCATCACGGGCTTAGATATTTACAGGCCAATTGTAGATCTTCCACGGCTGTGATCAGTACCTCGTTTTTAAAGTCACATATTTTCAGCGGGCAGGAATTTTGAGCCCAGAAGCTTTGATTCTAATTGAGGAGACTTCATCAGCCAAGAATCCTTTTAAACAGTTATCGCCAAGTGGACAGGAGTTCCAAAGGCACTGACGAAAGCAACGTGTTGCATGCTTGTGAAGTCCTATGGAACCATACAATTGCACTTAAAACGCCTGGGGGGAAAACCCCCCCCAGAAGAATTCACTTTGAGAGATCAGGAATAAAGATTGTAATCCGTGGTGCAGTGAGATGGCAGACCCATCATTCACACCAGGCAGATAGGAGTTTGGAGTCCAGCAGTTCTCGGATGGGGGAGTCCGAGTGTGAGAAAGCGATTGTGCAAGGCTCTTTGTTTAAATGTGGGTGTAAACACAAATATTGGGTGGAGGGAAAATTCTATGAGGTGAGCTCTGACTTACCTGAATCTGATAGGAAGCCTCATGTGGTGTGAGGCTTGTGGCTAATATATATATATATATAAAACTTTTTATTCCTTACTTTATTATTATTATTATTATTTTTAAATGAATTTTTTTAAGGGCATAAAAGGACTAAAAATGTGGTCGGGATGCTTTATAGCTGCCTTGATTTGTCAATAAGTGTTTTTTCCCCCTAATAAACGGTTACAAGCCCTACGGAGAAATGCCAATTAAGTACACGTTTCCAAAGGAAGATCTAAGTGTAAAAAGAACACGAAAGGGGAAAAAATGGGGGAGGAAAGAGGAAATTGAATGAATGGCGGGTAAATTTTCTTTCTGGAATTTTTCCTTTTTTTTTTAAGGAAAAAAAAATCAAGATATTGAGGATGCTGTCTAATGTTTTACTGGATTGAAACTGAATAAAACACTAAATTCTCACCTGTTTTTGGTTTTTGCCTTTGTACCTGAACTCTGCATGCAGTCCAAGATCATAGAATCTGAGAACCTCTATCGAAATGTGCCTCAGATTAATAGGTGGTTGGTTGGTGAGAAACTGTACAGAAGACTTAGGCAAGGAACTTACTGTGTTTCCCCGAAAATGAAGACCCTGTCTTATATTTTTTTTGAACCCCGAAATAAGCGCTTGGCCTTATTTTTGAGGAGGTCTTATTATTTTGGGGCGCATGGAGCAAGACGGGGCTCCTCTTGCTGTCTTACCTGAGTTCTAGCTCTGTCTCCCTAAACCTAACCCAGGGGTCAGCAACCTGCGGCTCTGGAGCCAGATGTGGCTCTTTCACCCCTCTGCTGCAGCTCCCTGTCACTCAAAATATGCGTCACAACAGCCAATGTGCTGTTTTCGGAGAGGGCTTATTTTAGTGAATGCGCTCAAAAGCCCGATTAGGCTTATTATCCGGGGAGCTCTTATTTTTGGGGAAACAGGGTATTTGTTGTATATTTTTATGAACACTATGGATTTAGTGGCATTGTAGATTTTTATAGGGAGTCTTTGAAGTACAATAGTTTATTTAGTGACTGAAGTTACAATGGCACTGAAAAAAGTGACTTATGACCGTTTGTCACACTTAACGACCGTTGCAGCATCCCCATAATTACATGATCAAAATTCTCTCTTTCTCTCTCTCCTCTCTTTCTCTCTCTCTGTTCTCCCTTCCCCTCCTTCTCCTTCTCCTTCTCCTTCTCCTTCTCCTTCTCCTTCTCCTTCTCCTTCTCCTTCTCCTTCTCCTTCTCCTCTCCCTCCCTCCCTCTTTCTTTCTTTCTGCCTGCCTGCCTGCCTGCCTGCCTTCCTTCTTTCTTTCTTTCTTTCTTTCTTTCTTTCTTTCTTTCTTTCTTTCTTTCTTTCTTTCTTTCTTTCTTTCTGCGTGCCTGCCTGCCTGCCTGCGTTCTTTCTTTTTCTTTCTTTCTTTCTTTCTTTCTTTCTTTCTTTCTTTCTTTCTTTCTTTCTTTCTTTCTTTCTTCTCTCTGTTCTCCCTTCTCCTCCTCTTCTCCCTCCTTTCTTCCTTCTTTCTTCCATCCTTCCTTCCTTCCTTCCCTTCTTCCTTTCTTTCTGCCTTCCTGCCTTCCTGCCTTCCTTTGTTCTCTCTCTCTGTGTTCTCCCCCTCTTTCTCCTCTTCCTCCTCTTCCTTCTCCTCCTCCTCCTCTCCTTCCCCCTTCCTTCCTTCCTTCCTTCCTTCCTTTCTCTGTTCTCTCTGTTCTCCCTTCCCCTCCTTTTCCTCCTCCTCCCCCTCCCTCCCTCCCCCTTCCTTCCTTCCTGCCCACCCTCCTCCCTCTTTCTTTCTTTCTTTCTTTCTTTCTTTCTTTCTTTCTTTCTTTCTTTCTTTCTTTCTTTCTTTCTTTCTTCAAACAGAACAAGGGCAAACAGTGGCAAGCACAACATTGCCTCTCTCTCTCTCTCCCTTCTCCTTTCTCAGCAGGGTTGGCTGTAAATGAGCAATTAGCACGTTTATAGAAATACAGATTCGTCCCTTTTCCCCCCCTGCACCGAAGACATGGTTGAGAACAACATGGCAGCCGTTGAGATTTGGAGAGTGCACTGATTTTTGCATAGTTCGGGGGCTCGGAGACCTTGTTTAAATTCCAGTCAGGAGCTAATCAACATCTTGCTGGACGTGACCAGGGAGCAAATGGAAAGCATCAGCTATGCAAAACATCCTCTAGCAATTTCTCTCGGCTAGCCCCTAGGTGAGTCTTGAGAACATTTGTTGATGGCCCACTGCAGGGATGGCGCGAAGTCCCAAGTTGCTTGTGCAATACTCATCCCTGACTTTGCGGTTCAGAAAGGGTCCCCGCACACCCAGGAGCTATGAATTTTGGCCACGATTGAAGGTATGGAACCGGACTGCCTGTATGTTGATTGCAGACAAGAATAGGTTAAGGTAAAGGTTCCCCTTGCACACAGGTGCTAGTCGTTCCCGACTCTAGGGGGCGGTGCTCATCTCCGTTTCCAAGCCGAAGAGCCAGCGCTGTCCAACGACGTCTCCATGGTCATGTGGCCGGCATGACTCAATGCCAAAGGTGCACGGAACGCTGTTCCCTTCCCACCAAAGGTGGTCTCTATTTTTCTACTTGCATTTTTTACATGCTTTCGAACTCCTAGGTTGGCAGAAGCTGGGACAAGTCACGGGAGCTCACCCTGTTATGCTGCAGCACTAGGGATTCGAACCGCTGAACTGCCGACCTTTCGATCGACAAGCTCAGCATCTTAGCCACTGAGGCACGAAGGAAGGAAGGTAGGTAGGTGAATAGCAATAGCGCTTAGACTTATATACCGCTTCACAGTGCTTTGCAGCCCACTCTAAGCGATTTACAAAGTCAGCCTCTTGCCCCCAACAATCTGGGTCAGCATTTTAGCCACTGAGCCACCGCGTAAGGAAGGAAGGAAGGAAGGAAGGACGGAGGGAAGGAAGGAAGGGAGGGAAGGAAGGAAGGAAGGGGTGGTCTTATTAAGGTTTTTTCCTTTTTTTTAAAAAAAGATGTGGGTTTTGCTTTCTGTGCCAGATTTAACACAGCCACTTGTGCACAGCCGTCTCTCCATTTGTTTTTATTTTTTTTTTTGTGCTGAGCAAGATGAATTTTGAAAGCTGACATTTCGTGAATTAATATAGAAGGCAAAGCTACCCAAAACCCAGAGAGAGCTGCTTAGAGGAGACTAATCCATCTAGTGCAAACCCAAGAAGCCTCAAGTGACCTTTTTGTCAGAGATCTTCCAAGTCTTATTTCATGCTTTGCACGCTCGGGAGGATGCTATTGACCTATAAAGCCCTACATAGCTTAGATCCGGGGTACTTGCAGGACCATCTCCTGCCTGCTTCCCACCGTCCTGTCCGCTCCCACAGGGCTGCTCTCCTCAGGGTACTGTCGACCGGGCAATGCCGTTCTGGTGACGCCCAGGGATAGGCCGTTCTCCGTGGGCGCCCCTACCCTCTGGAACGAACTACCCACCGAGCTCCGGACGGCCCTGGATCTCCGTTCTTTCCATCGAGGCCTGAAGACCTGGTTATTCCAACGAATGGGCTGATTCTGATTCTTGGGTTTTATTATTCATTATTGTTTTTAATCAGGTTTTAGCGGGATTTTATTATGGCATGTTTTTTAATCTGTGTTCGCTGCCCTGAGTCCCTCGGGAGATGTTGTGGCTCCGTTGCCTGAGCCTGGGCTATCGATAGATGCAGACTCTGAGAGTGAGGGAGAGGAGTTGGCAAGGCCTCCCTCTCCAGGACCCTCCTCTCTGGCAATGCCTCCGGAGGACACCGAAGGCCAAAAGATAGGCTCAGAGCCAAGCACGTCCCCGCAGCCACAGGTGGACAGCGACGAAGAAGATAAGTGCTGGCTGGACCCTCGCCAGAGGCGCAGGGAGAAGCGTGCGCAGCAGAGGGGAAGGCGTGCCAGAGATTAGCTGGAGTCACTGGACCACACCCCACAGGGTATAAATGTGGGTGTGGTAGCCGGTTCAGTTTGTGACGAGCAAAAACTAGAAATAATCCATGATCTCTGCGTTACTGGACTTTGCCTGCTTTATCGGACTCTATTTGGATTAATCCTTGTATTGTTGAAACTCTGCCTGTTTTATAGGAATGCTGGCAGTCTAATCTTTGTTTTGTGTGAGTAAAGTCTGAATTGGCAGCTAGCCACTGGGTTGCTGCCAGCTTTATCTTCAAAGAGTTTTGTCGTGTGGCTTATTAACTCCGGGCCGTCTGTGTGTGTGTGTGTGTGTGGTACGGGGACAAAACAGGAGAAGGGCGGCATATAAATACTTGTTAAATAAATAAATAAATACATGTCACTGTCCTGTCTCAGGTGCAAAGGAGGTTTTAAGATACTATGAGTGGATTACAGACGCTTAATTATGTCGGCAAGAGAGGCCTCACGATGATCTGGCTTGGGGTCACGCGTGGGCAAGCCACATGGAGAGAGAAGGCAACATCGTAAAGATGGTTGCATGTCTTTAAAAGGCAGGGCTGAGCTAGAAGCCGTGTTTACAAATTTATGGCGTTCTTCTTTGGATTGGGGTAAACTCAATAAAATTCAACCGTGAATTGCACTGTCAACTGTCCAGTTGGCAAATCCAGAAAAAGAAACTCCTGGGACATTATTTTTTTCCGCAAGAGTATAAAACTTTATTGAATAAACTACATTGGCGCAGAAGGAATAGAAAGAATTAGAATTGGAATTAGAAATAGAAATAGGAATAGAATAGAATTGGAATAGAGTAGAATAAGATTAGAATTAATAGAATAGAGTAGGATAGGATAGAATAATATAGAATAGAAAATAGAATAGAATTAGGTTAGAATTAGAATAAGATTAAATTAATAGAATATAATAGAATAAGAATAGAATAAGATTAGAATTAACAGAATAGAGTAGAATAAGAGGGCAAAAAGAGGGCTGGGAAAATATTTACAGACCCCTCGCATCCTGGACAAACTGTTTCAACTTCTACCTTCAAAACGATGCAATAGAGCACTGCACACCAGAACAACTAGACACAAGGAGAGTTTTTTCCCGAATGCCATCACTCTGCTAAACAAATTATTCCCTCAACACTGTCAAACTAGTTTCTAAGTCTGCACTACTATTAATCTTCTCATCGTTCCCACCACCCATCTCCTTCCACTTATGACTGTATGACTGTAACTTTGTTGCTGGTATCCTTACGATTTATATTGATATTGTTTCCTGATTGCTTATTTGTCCTATCCTATCCTATCCTATCCTATCCTATCCTATCCTATCCTATCTCTACCCTATGACTATCATTAAGTGCTGTACCTTTTGATTCTTGATGAACGTATCTTTTCTTTTATGTACACTGAGAGCGTATGCACCAAGACACATTCCTTGTGCACCAAGACACATTCCTTGTGCACCAAGACACATTCCTTGTGTGTCCAATCACACTTGGCCAATAAAAAAATTCT